TACACATGCACATTATTAAAAAGAAATGATTATTCATTCAATTATTATAACCATTTTTCATTTGATTGATTGATTGATTGACAGGTTTTCTGTTGCCCTGACTCCTCCTGAGTCCGGGTATCATCACATTGACGAACGTCAGTGTTCTGGCGATGTGAGGAGGTGACCTGTATCCCCCCTCAGTAGGATGAAACCATTTGTAGTGGTAATCGTTTGAATATACTAGATTTGTAGACAGCTCCAGGGCCTAATAGTGCCTTATCCTAACTCTAGCAATTGAAACATGTCCAGAAATGTTCTTTTCTTTTTGAAAAAAAATGGGTACTATGAATACGATTTATGTTTAATGCTAAGATTGTGATGGTTGAACTACGTATTCATGGCTAACACTCTATAAAAAATACTCAACCTATATATGTGGATGACCATTTAAACCTACCAGAATGTTATAAAAAATCAACTTGTAGGAATATATCATAAATTCATTACCATCACAAGAATGTGTGATACCTCAGAAGCTTTCTCTAATTTTTAGTTTAAAAAAAATTAGAGATGAAAAACAAAACACAATCACATAGACACAATGACTTATTTGGAGTAAAACACATGACTATCAGTAACCAGTACATATTAGGTCATTAGAAGTCACAAGAAATTTTCAAATTCAAAGATACATACAAACAAGTATTTCTATTTCTTTTACAGAGTGAACATTATCTACAATATGTACAGAACAAATATAAAAACCTGAGATTGCCAACCTGGGGCAAAATTAAGCAGGTACAGAATGGGACCAAGGGAAATCTTCTTGTGAAGTTCCGTAATTGCTTCTAGAAAAGCAAAAACAAACCTTTCAACTTTTAAAATCCAATATGGTAATGTGTCAGCCTTTTTTCTTTCCAAAGAAGTCTAAAAATTGCCCAGGCTAAACTAGGGATCAAAGGAATGTTATGAAATTTGAGGAGGATCCATCCAGTAGTACTTTTTAAGATTTAATGAAAAAATAAACTTGTACTGTCAAAATCAAAGATGGTCTCCTCTTGACTCTTTCGAATTTTCAATCACCCTGTAAATTGTGCTGTCAACAACCTTTTGTTTCATATTGACATAGCACTATCTGAGTAACTAAATACTGATTTATGATTCAAGTTACTTCTATAAAGGGAATTAAAAAATTAGCATTATTTATGTTAAATACAAAGCAGGGACAATTTGACCTCTGTATTGTATAGAGCTAATAGCCATCTAGTTTAACACTTGATAATGTACGACAATATATACACTGAGGATTACAATCTGTGTGCTTGTTTTTGCCACCACCTTTACTCACGAGACTATCAACACCCTTGATGTGTACAAACTTGCCTGATCGACGACCATTAACCAATCAATCACTAGGCACAATCACTTTTTACACTCGAATGAACATATTGATTCACAGCTTATGCCACATAACCAGCCGGTGTAATCAGTGACTATACACTATCAATCATGGCCATAATTTGCACCTAATTTTCCTGTTATGGTTTTCCTCCATTTTTATTATGATGTAGAAATTGATTAATATATAAATATCCATAAATGTATGATTTGTAGTTAGAACAGGCAATTTCCACCAAATAGTTGTATCAATTAATTTTTCTACTAAAGGAAAGTGTGCAAACCTGACTATATGTGTAGAAATTACAGCAAACTGAATTTTATATAAATCACAAAATCTATGATGCTGATATGGTACCCAATATCTTTATCTTTATATATAAGTGAATAATAGTTAGAAACAAAGAGATGCAATAACAGACAATCATTCAAATGAAAACAAAATTTACCTCATACATCAGATTATAAACAAATAAAAAAAATTGAGACACGAAAATTTTTCTAAGGCATCAATGTCATCCAAAGACCCCAATATCATTCCAAAACCACAATAGTACCCCAATGCCACAATATTATCCCCAACAAACCAAAAATCATCCCCAATATCATCAAAAGACATCAATATCATCCCCTATACTGCCCCCACCGCAAAAAAATTCCAGCAACCCAATATCAGTTCAGGAACTCAATATCATCCCAGAACCAGCATTGGCCAATAACACCATTATTAATGTGAGTGCAAAATATTAGTCAGAGACCTCAATATCACTTAGAAGACAGACATAGTAATTACGAGAACAAAATATCATCCAATGACATCAATATCACTCTGAAAATGTTGAAGGCAAGACAATGTGACCATTAAAATTACAAAATATCACTGAAAGACACCATGGTTATCACAAGACTTAAATGTCATGCCAAGGCACTGATACCATCATGAGATTAGAGAACCTATCATTCCAATATACCACGATTATCATGAGAGTTAAACACCATGCAGAGGCACTGATATCAACTTGTCAGCCTAAGACAACAATACATGAGAAAAATATCATCCCAAAATATCAATATTATTTTCAGATCCACAGATCAGTCCAAAGGGAGGTTATTAACAGGTAACACATTGAGTACAAGGAGATTGGTGACACCCGGCTTGGGCAGGACATGTGCTATTGGTCAGAAAACGATGGTGTTTTAACAGTCTGAAAATGTGCAATTCTACCAAGTTCCCATCGAAGCAGATGATATGTTCAGTATTGGTATAATCTATCATGGTATCTGTACCAATAGTGCCATCTGAAGGTACTTCATAATAGATTGCTTACACTGACTTCAACATGGGGAAACAGCAAATGTCATTCACAGCCATAGAGAAACTGGATGCCATTGACTATGCCGAAAGACTTGGGTTTCATGCCAACCCACTTTGATATCACAGAATCAAATATTCAGGCATGGAAGAAAAAGGAAGAATGCCTGAAGTCCCAACCCCTGAGCAGAAAGTCAGACAGAGATGGAGAGAGAGCTGTATGATTTCATATGCAATTGCCGAGATGTCAGCATTGCTGTCAGTATGACAGAACCACTCATGCGGGTCAGATCCAGAGAGGTCATAAGGTCACTGACTTCAAAGCATCAATGGGATAGGCTGATAGTGAACCCACCGTTAATGTTGACATGGAGGACAATTACGAGGATGCTTACGACCTGTTTTACCATGACAGCGAAAAATCTACTGAGGCAGACTTTGATCCAGTGTTCTTCTTTAACAGTGCCAATAATGAGGAATTTGAAGGAATTGTGTGACTATGTTTGTTTCGTGCATAGTAACAAAAGTGATCGGTGACTATGTTTTGTGAAAAGTAACTTCAGTGCTATGAACTGCTTCCTACTAAGTGCTCTAAGGATTTATCAGTTGTATGTTGTTTTTAATATATATATATCAAATATAACAAAACTGTTTTTGGACAACGGATGTATGACGGACCACAGATATAGGGTGATTTTAATAGCCCTTAAGAAATGAAGTCACTAGTGTGAAGACAATAAATGAATTGATGACTTTCTATAAATAGTAACAACAACCTTTCATCTGATCTCTGAACAATGAAACAATAACACATTTGAGATAATGTTAAAGTTGAACGTTGTGTAAAGGTTAATGAAAACCCTTAAAAAAATGAACTTGCTAGGGAGGACGTTACAAGATGGACTGGGGTAACATTATGCCCTGTCTCCCAAATCTATGATTCATACAATGGTGGGGCATAAAATACCATATTTTACCACAAATAAACCCACCCTCCCAGTGAAAATAAGAGTGATCAAATGCAAGGTGGGGGCTTCTTTGTGAGTATCCCCACTAGTTATAACAATAAATTGTCTGCCATCTGAGTTAATAATCACTGATTGTTGACAATGCAATTAAACAATAACCAGAAGATAAATAATATTCAAATATCTGTTCCTTTAGACTGTCACTCATGGAGAGCTATGATCTTACTGATGTTGTGTGAAACCTTATTCATCGACCAGCAGCCAAGAAGTGAAATGATCGCTTGGTGCTATATTTGATTTACAAATCATAAGTAGAATACTGCTGATTTTTAAAATTCATTATTTTCAATTTTCTAACCAGTTCATCCTAGTAAATTAGTGAAGACAAAATATGCTAGAGAATTCAATAACAGGAGGCCCATGGGCCTCAACGGTCATCTGACATAAAATACAAGATTTCAAATTTTTTCAAGATGGCGGCCATGTTGGATTTCGGACCAACATGAAATTAACAAACTTTGGTAGATGACCTAAAAATCTTGGAAAAATGTAGGCATGTCTAAAGAGCTAGTCAATATGTGTATCTTACATTAGTTTTGCAACAAGCTATTTTGATAACCATAAAGAGTTGAAATGTTTAAAGCAATTGTTGATCAAATACTAAGATGCAACAAAAAAACCCAAATTAATGAGTACATGGACTTCGAAGAAATGTGACATGTTTTACTAAACCAAATTTTCATAAGCCAATACAGACTGTAAACTGACCAAATTTCAAAATATCAAAAGTGGTGGAAAAAGAATGATAATAATGTCACTATGAAAAAGTCATTGAGACATTCAATTAGATGTCCTGACCCATATTAATTTTACATCAGTGAAATTGTAAGAAAATATCTGTCGTATTCCTGAATCAGGGGTAAATCTAGATCAATTTTACTTCCGTAAAATGGTAGTATCCCTCAAGTGGTATGTTTTCCCCTCTGAATGTAAACAAATTTCCCATCAACAGCATAAACTGAATTTCCCTTAAATAGATAAAATTTGCCTCAAATCAGAGCTAAATAGTATATTTTATTTAATATATTTTTGAAAAAGTAACATCAATCTGACCTCAAACATTCCATATTTCAATCAGGTATCTTCTGTTAAATTCTGACCAAAAGGGCTGTCTGAAATGTGCCCATTTCTCAAAACAGGCCTTAAGTTCCCCCTTTCCCACAATAGGTAGTATTCCTCAAATTCTAGATTAACACATGTAAATTATATGACACAAAACTTCTTCATAATCTAACAAGTTTAATCAAAACCATGCTCATAACAAAGAATGAGACACTGACCTTGTGAGATCAGAAGAGGTCTTCCATTTCCTTCATGAACTGATCATAGGCATCGTCTTTGGTCTTTGTCTGAGCTGCTACAGAGGCTGGGGCAGCTACAGGAGCCAAGCCAAGTAACCGCTTCTCCTCCTCTTTGCCTATAATACAAACAGAGCCATTATTTCACAATCAATATTTTTACCATATATGTCAATGTATGGATTGAATAATTAATTTTAAATAAGAACAAAGAATTCATAAATATTACCAATTTATGTTGTCAAATGCCAGATTCATCAACCTGTAGACTGAAAGCAGTTAAGGATCCTAAACCTTGATGATAATCCACTTGAACATGAAATTCAACTAAAGGGGAGCAACCAGCAAAGGTTTTTATTCTAAACTTATCTGGAGGCAGATACTACAGAGCACGATCAACATTTTAATATATTTTACATCAAACTGTTCCATTTTGATATGATTTTGAAACATTTGGTTCCCATCTATTTGATATCATTCAAAAAGAGATCTTGGGAGAAGTGTTGAGAACTTACCCATGGGTTTGACTCGGCCCTTAGCATCACGCACTTCTCTTTTGACTTTGAGAGCTGTTGGAGTGAACCGTGTTACATCTCCCATTACATTCTTGATCTGAGGCTTGGCCTCAATAGTTGCTGTATTTTTCTTGTCATCCCCACTGATCTTCTGAGGGAGCTTCATAATACTAGGTGGTGCACTAAGCACATTTGGATTCTGCGAGGCCATACCAGGAGGAGGTAACCCTGGAGGAGGTATGTTTGGTGGCCCACCTGGGGGTCTCATTAATCTGGGTGGCATAACACCTGGAGCAGAATGCAAAAAATCAGTTTATTACCTTAATTATTGTCAATTATCAGATAACATTGAAATCAACTGTTTAAGTATGTGTATACATTCTGTAGGTTCATTATCTCTGCTTTTATAGGTTTTAATTTGTTCTGGCATTTTTTTAAAGACCTGCTGTGAAAACTACAATCAGAATAAACAGATGGCTGGGTCACTCAATGAGAGCAATTCTGTCACAATTTTTTTACATTTCACCATAAATATTTGCTTAAATAATGGTTACCTGGTGGACCAGGAGGTAAACGTGGTGGCATCCTGATGTTGGGAGGTAAACCGGGTGGTGGTCCCGGGGGAAGACCCTGAGGCCGACCAGGTGGAGGACCAGGGGGCATCATCCTTGGGGGTGCTCCTGGAGGTCCTCCTCGCAACATCGGGGGTCTGAACATCATAGGAGGGGCTCCTGGAGGGGGACCTTAAGGATAGAATAGAAGACAATGCACAGTTATTATGATGATGTTTAACCACCTCTCCTGATAGCATTAATGACATAAACAAACTTGTGTTCAAAAAGTGAAAAAGATTTTAATACAGCAAAGAGTAAAAGTTTTTGTATCTGTGAAAATGAAACAACACAAGAAAGCAGATGTCAGAGTCTGACTTGTAATAAACACTGATACTGTACCTGGAGGAACTCCTGGTGGAAGACCTGGAGGTGCTCCTGGAGGGGGACCAGGAGGTATAAGTCTTGTAGAAGCCTGTTGTGCAGAATCATCTCCTGGAGGACCATCTGGTAGATTAGCCACAGCTTTCTTCTTGTCTTCATCATCTCTTTTGGAATCGTCTCGTCTTTCACTCTGATGAAAAGAAACATTTGTTTACATGGAGCAACGCTAAAACACTGAATTCAAGCCTATACTGAGTTAAAAGTTATTCACATATAGATGTTGAGGTAGAGCTGCAAACTTAAATCAATATTTAAACAATTGATATTTCTAAATTTGATGTACTTCATTAATATGGAAATTAAATTTTGAGGAGAGTGACACAAAATTCAAAACAAACATTTATTTAGATTGTAGATTTGTAGTTATAAACATAAAAACAGTTTGAAAACAATAATTAATTTTTGAAGCAATGCCATAAAAATCCTCAGACAAAGCACTATCACACTTAAACCATAGCTACCGAATAAGAGTTCTGAAATGCTTGTCTGCTGAAAGGCCATAACAGCGGACGTAAATCCCTTTAAATAATAATTCTGGAAGGGAATTATTCTTACAAAAATAGAATCATATTCCTTTTTATATCATGTTATGACTCTAATATACATTGTTAGTAAATAATGTCTTACTCTCCTGTCCCTCTCCCTATCTCTGTCCCTATCTCGATCTCTGTCTCGATCCCTGTCTCGATCTCGATCTCTATCTCTGTCTCTATCTCGACTTCGTTCTCTATCATGCTCCCTATCTCTGTCTCTATCTCGGTCTCTGTCTTTATCTCTGTCTCGATCCCTGTCTCTGTCACGATCCCTGTCCCTGTCACGGTCTCGATCCCGATCTCTATCCCGGTCTCGGGATCTCATGCTTCTGCTATCCTCTTCTTCTGTCACTGATGGCACCTCTACACCCTTGGGGCCTGGCTGACCTGCCATCTTCAACATCATTGCCTGTAATGGTGTCACCCCTGCCTTCTTCTGTAAACCAAACTTTAATCGTGTGTCCTTCTCCTCCTCTTCAGGATCCCTTGTATCATCATCAACAAATCGAATCTTTCTCTGCTTCGCTGTTGAAAAAAAATGAAAATATTGAGAAATGTCAATTTTCTTTTCTACTCTGTACAAGATTCACATATTCATTGAATTGACAAACATGGCTTAGCCAGAGGGATAGACATTTAGAGATGGTTTTAGTCAAATTTATGGAGGCAAGCATAACTTCTCATTTAAACAGGAGATCCTTGAGGGATCTTTGCACCCATCGTTTGGTCTTTATTTGTTCTTTAAAAGTTGGTTATCTCCCCTTCTTTCTATTCTTCACTTTTTTTTCCCTCTTAACTATTTGAAATTTGAAAATTCCTCTTCAAATAGCCAATCCAAATTGAAATGCCAATCCAAGATGGTTGACTGTCAGCCATTTTGTTTTCTGACCAGTCCCAATATCAGAAGGGCAATAATAGCATCCAAGAGGAATCTACATATGAAATTTGTATACATAAGTTTCATGATCCCTACAAAGTGTGGGCAAAGTTATGCTTTGGACATGAAAGTAAGGACAGACAAACGAAGTGGCACCTATATGCTATGTCAACATTTTCAGGAGCCTAGAATTGTTTATGGATTGATGGACCATGGACATTGGGTGATTTAAATAGTCAATCGTCTAAGGAAGTATATCTACAAGCAGATTTACCACTACATTTATACAGTGGATATCATCATAGTAGAATGTTATTGTATTCTACACTTGTGTCTGTACCTAGCTGTGTCTCCTCCAGGTCTGGCTCTGGTAACATTGGTTCATCCTCAATCATCTCATGGGGCTCCTCTATGTCCACATCTACTGTGCCTATGTTCTCCTCTATGTCTGCAACACAGATCAAAGGCATTCAAGATACACTTTTCTCACAGTAGAGCTTAAGATATTGTGTCACCTGATGATTGTGTATTTGGTTCCTTATCTTGAGTGAACAGACCATAAACACTTACATATATGTTTGTTTGTAAGTTTTCATACAAATAAATTCTTTACTTTTAGAACAAGGTATCAGGTCCAGTAAAGATCTCCTTTACAGAAAACAACCTATACATTTATGTTAAACATGAGAATGGCATTTAATGATCTTCTTACCTTTGGCAGGATCATACTCCTCATCCTCACTGTCAGACAGTTCTGGAGGAGGCCCAGGCGGAGGCCCAACAGGTTTTCTCCGCCTGGCTACCTCTAACTCCATGGCTGTTACTTCTCTATGTCTACAATATACAAAAAAAAAATATAACAGGACTGTGTACTATGAAGACACATTGAAACATCTGGGAGATATATTGCCTATGACTTTAACACACTGCTTTCTTTTATTTCTGAAATTAGCAAAAATGTTGAAACATTTTTCTCATTGTATCTAGAATCTTGAACATTTCTTCATGCCATTGCAAAAGACACTACAAATTACAGTCACAATTTTACATTATAGAAAGTGTATTTGGTCAACGTGTATTAATAGTGTTTTTTTAATGTTGGAAATATTATCTTTTTATTTAATTTTACACTTGCATTGTATGATATTTTGAACATCTAATTACAAATTCTTTACATAGCATTTTATACATGTTACATAGTATTAACATCCGAAATAGTGCATTATCTAAGCTTTCATTTTCTTTGAGTTTTAAGTTCCTCATAGAAAGACCAAAATTCAACATACCCATATGCAGATGACTTCTTGAGAATTCCATGGGGCTGTTTGATCTCATCCAGACTTGGTATTGGGATTTCATTGGGCAGGGGTATTAGAGAAGGTACTGTAACATAGAAATGAACATTGCAACACCAGATGATTGGAACCAATAATGCTGCAAGGTCTCAACTTGTTCTTTCTGTAAAGCATCGTATAGTTACTAAAAGTACAGAGTGAAAGCCATTCTAGGTTAAAGGGAAATAACACCAGACTATTTAAAGTGTGATCAATCATTAATTCATGGTGCTTTTATTATGAGGTAAAAGATTGTCTGATTGACTTCAAACTACTTGGCAAATGGTTATTTACTAGTGTTAAGTTGTAGTAAAAGTTTGCTTTTAAGAGTTGTGTTGTAATAGGGGCTTACATACTGTAATGTGATACAATGTTATAGCAGATCTTTACTTACTTGTACTATGTTGTGGTAGAGATTTACTTACTAGTGCTGTGTTGTGGTAGAGATTTACTTACTAGTACTATGTTGTGGTAGAGATTTACTTACTAGTGCTGTGTTGTGGTAGAGATTTACTAACTAGTACTATGTTGTGGTAGAGATTTACTTACTTGTACTATGTTGTGGTAGAGATTTACTTACTAGTGCTGTGTTGTGGTAGAGATTTACTAACTAGTACTATGTTGTGGTAGAGATTTACTTCCTAGTACTATGTTGTGGTAGAGATTTACTTACTAGTGCTGTGTTGTGGTAGAGATTTACTTACTAGTACTGTGTTGTGGTAGAGATTTACTACTAGTTCTGTGTTGTGGTAGAGATTTACTTACTAGTACTATGTTGTGGTAGAGATTTACTTACTAGTACTATGTTGTGGTAGAGATTTACTTACTAGTACTGTGTTGTGGTAGAGATTTACTTACTAGTACTGTGTTGTGGTAGATATTTACTTACTAGTACTATGTTGTGGTATGTCTGGTAAGGGAATCTGATCCAGTTGTACTCGTTCAGCATTCTTCACTTGTTCTGTTGATTAAAGAGATATATTACAGGCTAACAAATGTCAAATTATCAATTTCTGATTGATGTAGTAAATACCAATGAAATAAAAAAAGAAATGAAAATATTAGTTTTTCCTATCCAGACAATTGGTTTAAAACTTTTGACAGATCCTGATAAAACACAATTTTTTAATCACATAAGTATCAATAGTGTATTTGAACTAAAACACTTGTTGATCATGTAAACACAATTCTTTTATACAGTAAAATTTCTGTAAACAAGCTTTATATATTGAATGGTCAGATTAATATTCATTCTTTTTAACAGATTTGTTAAACTTACCAAAATAAACCTGAAGTTGCATTCTTTTCTTTTCGTAATCATTTTCAGATTTACGTAAATCACGAGCAAAGTCTGGATTTTCCTTTTCCTGTGATATAAGAAACAAAATAGTAAGTAGTACAAAAACTATGTAATGAAAACATGTATGCCCTATCTACCACTACATAAAGTACATAAAAAGGTGAATGGGGCATGCAGCATTCATTTGTCATCTAATACTGAAATTATAACCTTGTCCAATGAACTCATATAATGTCAACAATGTCAGTTTAAGATTTTAACATAATCAACAACTACAAATTTGTATATGGATTTAGGTGATTATTTCAAAATATCTGTAAACACGTTTTAGTTAGCATGTTCTCTATCACCTTACAGATTGAATGGATCATTAGCTTGTCCTGGGAACATCTACAATTCCTACTGGTCAAGTAAATATCTGGGGGCCATGACCATGACACAGAAATACTGGGCAGTATCTCTGTTTCGTTTCATCTCAGTTGATCTACCTGTATAAAATATGTAACTGTTACTTACATATAATTTCATAACCCTTTGAAAAGTCTCCTTCAGTTTTTTCCTCTTGTCTTTCAATACTTTCTCATTCAACTTCGGTGCCTCAATTGGGTTATACTCTGGAAATATTAATGGAAATGTTACTCATCGTACAATATAATTTATAAACATAGCTATATGTGAAGTCTTTTGCAGCTGAAAGAGTCCATAAACCTCACAGAATTTTTGAATTTCACTCTGGATGTCACCAGTTTTTAGTTACTAAATATAATAGGAACACATAAAGCAGTTTAAGTGAGACAAATTACAGTGAAACCTCACCAAACAACCACCTTAAATTACGACAACCCTACTATCATGAGCAATTTTTTCAGTCCCTTTTTTTCCACTATATATCTTTTGTATTGGGTCACTTCAGTATTGCAACCACCCCACTATTCTGTATTATGACCACTTCCTACAGTCCCAAAGACCACTAATTAACAGTATTGCAACCACCCCACTATTCTGTATTATGACCACTTGCTACAGTCCCAAAGACCACTAATTAACAGTATTGGAACCACCCCACTATTCTGTATTATGACCACTTGCTACAGTCCCAAAGACCACTAATTAACAGTATTGGAACCACCCCACTATTCTGTATTATGACCACTTGCTACAGTCCCAAAGACCACTAATTAACAGTATTGGAACCACCCCACTATTCTGTATTATGACCACTTGCTACAGTCCCAAAGACCACTAATTAACAGTATTGGAACCACCCCACTATTCTGTATTATGACCACTTGCTACAGTCCCAAAGACCACTAATTAACAGTATTGGAACCACCCCACTATTCTGTATTATGACCACTTGCTACAGTCCCAAAGACCACTAATTAACAGTATTGGAACCTCACAATTATGACTAAGATCTCACCAGCTATAAAAGTTTACCTGGTGGGAATTGAACAACGAGCATGCGTGTCAATCTTGACTTTAACCATTGTTTTTGTCACAGGTTACCGACCCTGCCACCAGGTGACATTACATGAAGTAAACTTCATTATCGGATTAACTTGGCCTACTATTGTCTTTTAATTTTACATTGATAAGTCGGTAGGTATGCTCTTAATCATCTTGGAAGCCCTGCAAACTTTTTGGCAGATATTCCTTTGGTCACATACGAACAAAATACTGTGAGTTTTCACTTGTGGTAATATTACACTCTCCATATCGTTTGAATAATCAAACAAACATGTATCTTTTTCTAATTTTTTACAAAATATTTTCATTGTCACTAAATTTGGATAAACTTAATCATGCAATGATGACACCACATACATGAAACAAGCTATCGCTCTAGAAGAATAAAGAAAAACAAATTTCATATTTGAACATTTTATTCCTATTGAACTTAAAATTGTTTGTTTGCTTTGTTTACAATCGTAATGTACATATATATTATGATCTAATGTAACAAAGGAATATACACATATATATTCTTTTGTCAATTCACCAATTATATTTATATAATTTACTTGAATATCATAAATTTCAACATTTTAACATTTAACAAATTCATATTGTTGAATAATATACATGAACATTACTTAACAACATTTTAAAACAAATACGGTTCTTTGTGGTCAATCTGGTTCTACCTCACTGTTAAGACCACCTTGCTATGACGACCACTTTGGGGACTGTCGTCAATAACGATCAATTCATTGATATAATCAAACTTACCCATTTTATCTATCATTTCCATTTCTTGGAGCAGTTTCAGTGGATCTTTGCCTTTCAAAACAGCCTGTCTCACCATCATACGCTGCTTCTTGTTCTAGAAAAAAAATTGCCAAGGAAATATTAAATAAAAGAAACTTAATGAAGTGATACAGTACAGTTCATCAACTTGAAGTTCATCCAGTCGAGAGCCTGTTACAAACTTTGACATGCTTTCAACACATACAAATTATCCTAAGATTGCACCAATGTTTGAGATGTAACATGGCAATGATAATGGTGAAATAAGTGAGTTTTATTAATCAAACACACGCTGGAGGTAGAAACTAATCGTGAACCATACTCCAGATACGCTAACTCAAAAGGCAGCTGTTACTGTAAGCAGCATGCTACAGTATTAATGCTTACCTTTTTCAGCTCTTTTTTCCTTGCCTCCTTTCCTGGAAAAAGCAAAAAAAAAAAAAAAAAAGAAATGAATCAAATATTCCATTATTGCACAACAACTGACATTCTACATGTGACATGTCCAAGTACCAGTCAGTGATACAAGTAGTACTTGCAGTTATAGTTCGCATGCTTGAAATCTATAGAAAAGGAAAATTAACCTTAATTTTAGGGAATGGATAATGACCTAGCATCCAGATACTTAACTTATGATATTCTATTTACTCTGAAACCCCTTCTGAGTACTCCCGTTTTCTTCCCACAGTAATACATGATGGTTTATTATTATCAGGTGTGGGACAAATCAGTCTGATTCAGGAAATGTCCATTTACCTTGGATAACCAAAAAAGCTGCTTGTTTATTTCTAATGGGAATCCAAGGATGACACAAACACATATAAATTTAACTTATGAAATAAAAAAGGAAATATTCGCTTGAGGTTAAGACAGGGAACACTGGTGAGAGCCCAAGCATGTATTGTATCAACATCTGTTAAATATTTCACTTATTTTGTTAAGAGTTTATATTTCGTTGGTAAATTTGTGTATATTTTCTTAATACACATCTTTAAATGTCAAATGTCCTGTTCTGTTGTCATCTTTCAAGCGAATAAAAATCAACATGAGTCATAGGCCACATCTCCTTGCAATCTTTTAGCTATGCATGTCGAAATATGGACTTCTTATATAGAAATCATGATTTTAAAATGACCACTTTTTATGAATCATCTCTGATTTGGTTTAACTAGGGAGTTGTTGACAGACACATGGAAAAATTAAACAGTTTATGTTATAAAAGGAAGTTTACCAATAAATATGCCTTATTTGAGAAAATAGGACCAAACAATAAAAAACTTGAATCTAACCTTTTAGAAAAGGTGCACACATAAACAAAGCTATCCATCATTTTCATATATATGTATTTGTTTGGATAAAATTCAATGACATTGCGTAAATAGGGAGGCATAATTATTTAGGGGTAAAAAATAATGCCTTTTTAAAATTTTGATTCGGTTTACAAACAAGTAAACGTGATTTGCTTTCGTCCCAAATATCGCAATGGTATGCCTTTATTCGTATTAGGTGTCACTTCATATTTTGATGACTGGACATGGGAAAAAGTAAGAAGGCAGTGAATGACTTACGAGCTTGGTCAGTGGGATTCATGTATTTCCCACTTTTAGTGGTGTTGATCGATCGTCGACCCATGGTGACTTGTTTTCTTGTTTCAGTCTCTAGATAAAAATAATCAGTTGCAAACACTTATTTTCGTTAATTAATTCAATTAAAAATGCGCCTTCAATTAGACATTCATCGGTTACTTTCTATGTTATCATCAGGCTAGGTCTCCTCGAATGCCCTAAAAGCTACAGGTTGCAAGCAAGCATCGGCCATGTTTTGTCTATTGGTCACGTGTCATCGCAAATCGGCACACTTTACAGCAACACTTATTTAATATAGATAATTTAAAAATTCATTACATGTAAATAATTCTATTCTAAACGGATTTATGTGTAGTGTGATGATGTACATATTCTATTAAGCTTTAAAACTTTTTTGATATTTCACGACAATAATGTCTCACTTCCTGCAGAAAGTCGGAAGTCGTTTGACAGTACTTACAAGAGTGAACGAATTAAACTGAAGTAAACGCCTCTAGAGGTGTCATTATGGCGGAAACGACTTTACTAAAGTCAGAAATTGACAACAAACTAGAAAAGGTATAATGATTTGTGTTCATGTTAGCATAAACACAGAAAGATGTGGTTTATGTACTCGGGTGTCGTACCCTTATAAAATAATTCCACAACAATTTATGTACGATGTTTAATATAATTAGACATGTTTCAATAAAAGGCTATGTAGCTGAGTGTTAATCTAGATAATCTAATATCGTGATTTGTGGTATTGCTAAGAATATCAAATAATTCAAATTATATGTCAATAAAACTTTAATCTGTCCGCATTTACGTTTCAATTTTGTTTCAATGTAGGCGGATAAATTATGGGGTGGAATAAGCGGATATATTGAATCTGTGTGATAACACACAACAAAGCAATAAACAACAACGTTTATTTACAGGAGAGACACAATCTTCAGACGCTTAATGAAGCTATGAACAAAAGCAACAATAACACACAGAACATGTTGACAATCTTGGAGAGTTTCCAGAACAGATTGAAAAAGTTGGAAAGCACTGTTGAACCAGTCTACAATGAAACAGAAATGTTAAGGAGGAGACAAGAAAGTATCCTTTGTCAGGTTGTCTGTATTAACCCAAACTGTGTACTGCACCAAAGTAATTTGTTAGAATACCTGAGTGTGACAAAATTTACAACTACCGGGGGTATTTCATATTCAGTGTGATTAATCATGTATTTTAGATATGATTACCAGGTATACCAGATTGTAAAAGCAGAGAGATTTCTGTCTAGTAATTAAACAAAGATTATGTGTGTGTGTGTTTTATTATTTATTAACAGAAAAAAACATAAAAGTAAAAAAAAAAAGGAAATAGAAAAAATGGCAGGGAAAACCAAATGATCCCAGCTTGAATAACAAGAGGTTATTTTAAGAAACAGCATTTATCTCATAACTTTGGATTTCCCAAGTCAATTTTGTACATGTTTTAAACAATTAAAGTTTGCATTCCTTGCAGATGATACTTAAGAAAAAAAAAGGAAAAATGGTTATCATATGTTGACAGGATATTGTATCATGAAAAGGAAGTTTGTTCTGGACGAGATAGTAAAAGTAATGAATTGCAGATTGATTTTGCTAGAAACTGACTTAATTCTGAATTATTTTAAAACCTTGTAAGTTGTTCTATTCTAGAAAATACTATAAGCATTGTTTCTGTCCTTTAAGATGTTTTCATGGTTACTGGCATTCTGTCCATAGATTTAAAAACAAAAATATTGTTATTTGGTGATAAAATGACAAAATTAAATGTATCATATTTGATATTCAGACCTGATAAAAATTGTAGATAAAACATTGTACAAAATTAGTGAAACTCATTTGCTCAAAAACATTTAATATAGCTTCACAAGCATGCATGTATGTAAGCTTTTCTTGATTATCGATTAAAAAAAGTAAATCTTGTTCCAATCTTTCATTAACTAACAAGATATTGAAAGAACGACAATGACATTGGAGAATGTTCTTGGTTACTACCACGTGAGCAGAGAAGTTGAGGTTCAGATCAAAGAAGGGTAAGGTTATATGACACTTTTGTCCTTTCTGTAATTTTATATACATCCCATTATTATTGCAAGAAAGAAACATGTGATGGCTGTCAAGTGTTCTTCTCGAAAGATAGTTAATCATCATATTGCATTTTAGAAACTCGAGAAAGAATTGTCAAGCCTTGTTTTACTATAGTATATCAATCAGTCTAAAATTAATGAACCCGAATGATTTTGAAACAAAATCCAGTGTTTGTTAATCTTGAGTTAAGACAAATAAAATATGACTTTGACTTTAGATTTTGATTACAAATTAACAAGAACTTTTGTTTCCTTTGTAGTCCACACTCCTGTGGTCTCCAAAGTTATCTGTTACAGATGGACAGACTACTTCAGGCACATAACTACTTTCAAAAACACAATCCCACCAGTCTAGAGCTTGTTGATGTTGTAAGTTTTCAAATTTCATTGCTGTTTAAATATGATATGTTAATATATACTTCTTACTGTAAGGCAGATATTATTGATATAAATTTATGTAGAAGCAAAATAAAGATGCAAATAAGAGGTGTATCTGTTTATTTCACCCTTTTGAAGCTAACATCTACATTGATAATCACATTCATCAAATGGTGTTACAACAACTTTCAGTAGGAAATAAAAGTTAGCCTTCAAAACTGATTATTTTTATGAGAGGACAATTTGCTAAATTAATTAAAAAATCCTTGAACAATCTTCAATATCAAATGACTAAATATTTGTATGTGATTCTTGTGGAAAATCTTATCTCAGTATTGACTGATTAATCATACAATATACAATCAGTTATATTATGATTCATCGTCTGATTTGATACACATCCTGACAATGATTTAGTTTATCAGTGAAACATGCCTATAGGTGCCATGATTAGTGTCAACAGAAAGGTAAAAAAACAACAACTGGAAAGTTAAATATCTTATAAAAGATATGAAAGTAACATTAAAGTAAGTGGTTTGTGTTGTTTGCTTTATTTTAGATCCGAGTGTTTGATGAAGGAAAGGATGCTTTGCAGGTAGAGTTTCGTACCTTACTAGGACGCCATGGCAGACCTGTCCCAGCTATCACTATTCTTAATCACATCAGTTCATATGAAGGTAGGTTTTGGGAAAATGTGACCTATTCTTATTTAACAATAAACTTACATCATATTTAGCATATCTTTTGTTCTTGTCCTTGGGCTGGTGTTGGTATGATCCATCTCTTCATCAAAATTACCGTAAAATCAACTTTCTTTCATTGTTACATTGCTGCTTATAGTATACTATTCGAAACATCATATTTTGTGTGGCCAGAATGAGGGGTAGTTAATTGAAGATCTTGTTGTGAGAAGTTTTCGCAAATAAAGTCTTGATTGAATGAAAATTGTTAACAGTAGTTATTAGGGTTTTTTCTGCTAAATAAGTATCAGGTCTAAAAAATGTCTAAACAGATAAAAGTAGGTTACAGTCATGTAATTTTACAACTGGTTAACAGAGATGTTGAAGTTGAAATAAAAATAGTAACAATGTCCAGTTTAAATCTCTTTTATGCTTGTATAGATTTTTTTTTCACCTCTGAATGTTTTACTATTTTTAAATTACCCAACACAATTTCAGACTTACAACCAGGCGAGACAGAAACACCATCAGAGATAGAACACTTGCCAGAAAAGATCATCACTGAACTTGGTCAGATAGCCAGGTGGCTGGTCACCAATGGTCCCACCACTGACTTCCTTAAGGATTACACAACCATGCGATCATCCATGATGATCAAATCCCTTCAATGGTAATTGTAGACTCTACCCTCTCTGATTCCTTGTATAAATAATAGTGTTAAAGGCTGGGTATAGATATATATTTCCTTGACTTCATTCACTACCAAGTATTCCTGTTGTAGATAAAATTAAAGGCATTGTTTATGATACTTATTATGAATGTAATGACAAGTGTTTCATTACCTGAGTAGCTGTAAGAGGTCCCATTATCCCATTTATAAATATTTTTATGACAGACAGTGATACTGTCACAGGCCCCATTGATCCCTTGGTGTCTACCTCCATGAGACATAAGGTTACTGTCACAGGCCCCATTGATCCCTTGGTGTCTACCTCCATGAGACATAAGGTTACTGTCACAGGCCCCATTGATCCCTTGGTGTCTACCTCCATGAGACATAAGGTTACTGTCACAGGCCCCATTGATCCCTTGGTGTCTACCTCCATGAGACATAAGGTTACTGTCACAGGTTCAGTTGCTTCCTTGATATCTGTCTCTGTGACAGACAGGGTTACTGTCTCAGGTCCGACTGGCTCCCTGGTGTCTCTCTCCATAACAGACAGGGTTACTGTCTCAGGTCCGACTGGCTCCCTGGTGTCTCTCTCCATAACAGACTGGGTTACTGTATCAGGTCCCATTAACCTCATGTCATCTTTCTCCTTGACAGATAGGGTTACATCCTCAGGTCCCATTGACCCCATGGTATCTATCTCCATCACAGACATGGTTACTGCCTCAGGTCCTATTTACCCCATGGTATCTATCTCAATGGCAGACAGGGTTACTATATCAGGTCCTATTTACCCCTTGTTATCTTTCTCCATGAAAGATAGGGTTACATCCTCAGGTCCCATTGACCCCATTTTATCTATCTCCATCACAGACAGGGTTACTGCCTCAAGTCCTGTTTGCCCCTTGTTATCTATCTCAGTGGCAGACAGGGTTACTGTCTCATGTCCCATTAGCTCCTTAATATCTATTTCTATGACAAAGAAGGTTACCTTTCCAAATATATAAATATATCTTTGTGTGTGTATGAACGATTGAATTACTATCATGGGTCTTATAAACTCCTTTATCGGACAAATAAGATTACAGATTCTGCTACTACTGTTAAACCAGTGTCTGTATGTTGGTATGTTACAGTTTGAAGGAGCATATGAAATCCTCTAGTGGTAGCAGTGTTAATGCCCTATTTCCTGGACAGCACTCGCCTGCAGCTGTAAGTTAATTACAACAGTAATATACATATCAATTCACTGTAGCTATATACATGTGCAATGATGAAAGAGTTTCAATTTCTAGTAGACTGGAAAATATCTGAAAATGACTAAGTTAGAATTTTTTGCATCAGATGGATGTGAAATGCTACTTTCTGAATTAAATTATGCAGTCTTATAAAATAGATCCTTTAATATGATTTAATTGAACTGCCATGATATCAAGACCTATATATGTAAAGTAGTGTATACCTGTATTTAGGTGTGGATGTCTTGGAGAAGCATGTTTAGATATGTCATGTAAGCATTTGTGTTGTTATGAAAACAAGTTTTCAAACGTGTATTGATTGATTTTTTCCAGACCAGCAAATTTAGACCAAACAAAGACACGCCAGTAAGGAAAAGTATGAGGAAAATTGCGTAAGTGAAAGTTTGAATGGATAGTCCGTGATAGATTTCAGTTATAAATGACACTCAGACTACAAAATAGATCAGATATAAAGATTGAAACACTAAGTAATATTTACACATTGTTCTTTTAGAGAAACTCATTCATATGGTTATCATCATTTAATGATTTAAAAGGCTTGTGTAAAAAAATATTTAGAGAAGTTTAAGAATTCTGCAGAATTGAAGTAGGAGCATTTTTCAGCTAAGAAAAAAATCTTAATGTTATTATCATTAAAGTATATTAATAGACTTGTGTAAAAAAGTATTTAGAGAAGTTTAAGAATTGCAGAACTGGAGTTTTTGTTTTGGAATAACAGGTTTGAAAACTGTTATTTTGTAGACATTCCTTTAGGAAGAAGGCAGCAACAGCTTTGATACAGTCACCTTTTGATCCAGGTAAAAAATAGAAGGAACATTGGTATTAAAATCAAACAGTCCACATGGAAGTTTGACCTATATACATTAAGAAAAAAGAATAAGGACAAGAAGGAATTGCATAGTTAGGCCATGTAGCTTTGTTAGACTGAGAGAACAATTTTATAAGGGGAGGATGTCATTCTCTGTATCTCCTGTAATAATACATATATATGCAATTAATACGAGGCATAAATAGATAAATTAATTTCTGTTACATTGATTAACCAAAGGGTATGACCCAACCCCAAGAACATATCTTCAGATATCAAATATCTTCTGCATAACCATATACCTGTATAAACAATTGCTTCACATCAAGTGACATTCGTTGATGCTGATGGTTTACGTAAATGTTCAGCCATGCAACCCAGAGTTAGTCCTTGGGGGAATATTGAAATTGATGAAGTCCTTATCCTTATGCTGGAAATAAATTAAATGAACACTTTCATGATATCAGGATTTGTTTCACCTTCTTTATTTGTACTTCCCCTGGGAACTTAATGTAGTCCTTAAGTTGAATTTCCATAAGTATGCACATGTACACACATAGGAATCCAGGATACTGGTATCTGAAATCTACACAGTCCTTGACACCTTGGCACAGAGAAACATAATTCACAGTTGGTATTTCCAATATTACACTGAATGAAGTGATACTATTTCTAGAAAAAGTATTTTCAATTATTTTTACATAAAACAGGTCACCGACGCCAGGGTTCTTATACAGATGTTATCAAAGAGGAGAGTCTGGATGTGGAGATAGATATTTACATCACTGAGCTCACCGCACTTCTCAAACTCATGCAGGTTAAACTTGTTTCATATTAAACATTATTAGACCATCTACATGTATTATAGAAAGATCATACTGAAATATTAGCTATATAATCGGTGTCTGTTCAATTTCTTACTGACTTTAAATACTTCACAAATGTAGTTGTACCATAGATAAACAAACCATGCTACTGCAGACAAACCCGATAAAGATCCCACTATTTACCCTGATAGCTATTGATATCTATCATTGATAGATAACCAAACATTCAATTTTTTATTGTGTTTAAGTGACAATCAATATCAGAATTCCTTGGAAATGGGATTCATTTTGGAGAACCTATGAGAACTATCTCATGTAAATTGTTTATCTGTACCTCTTTTTTAGAGTGAGAACCAACTGATGTCTGGCATTGTCCCAGAGAAGCACCACCGCACTGTGTTTGATGGTGTTGTACAACAGGCTATTGATGCAGTGGTCAGTGAGGGAGAGGTCAGTAGATAGTACTTGCTGGTACATTGAGATCACATTTACTCAATCTGATTGTTATGATCTAAGGTCACTTTGCGTTGAAATGGTAAGCTGAACCTGCAAGAGAAATGCCAGTCAGATCGGGACTGAAGAGAAATGCCAGTCAGATTGGGACTGAAGAGAAATGCCAGTCAGATCGGGACTGAAGAGAAATGCCAGTCAGATCGGGACTGAATTGTTATTCTATTAAGTATGATTTAAAATTTTAAAATGGATGCTATTGTATGTTTGGTATATTGTTTGTACTTTACATGAATTTCCCAAACTGTACATTTTGACCTTTACATGTATCAGTTTCAAAATCTGGAACAGGTGCGTTTGTTTATTGTAATTCTGGACTGCCTGAATCAATTAGCTTCTTAATATTCACAATAAAAGAGCACTCCTGTACTGGATGCAGGCAATGTAATGGGCAGTTGGAACTTAGTTTCTGTTGAATTGATCAAAAAGTATCTATATTTCTTTTTCTCTGTGTATTTGTACTTAATTTTATTAGAAAAAAATTCTTTAATATGTTTTTGTGCATTCATTGTTTTTGTTCTGTGAAGAAAATATAAAAACTAGCAATAGTCAGCCATAATTTTCCTGGACTTGACCCCAAGATGTGTGGGTAAAATTTTCAGGCTTGATCCAGGCTGGCCTTAATCTTGAATGTATCTATAGTTTTCCTATGGTTGTATCATCTTAATAGTTCCAATACAGATCCATAAAACTACCATTAGATAGTGTATAGAAAATGTTTAAAGTTATATCTTGTGTTGTAGTTGTTGGCCAGTAATGCCAAGAAGAATATTGTTAAACACGAATTTATGGCAGTGCTGTCCATCTACCCTGTTGTGAAACACCTACGAACCATCAGGCCAGAATTTGACTACACTCTAGAGGTAAAAAACAAAATTAGTAATGAAGATGTAAAGGATTAACACTACATTTAAACTAGATGAATTAATTTCATTCAGTAATGATAGATTAATGAATTGCCAAATTGTCTAGTGGCATGATGCTTTTTTTTCCATTAAAAAGCCTACCTTTACTATTTCAAAATTAATGCAATACACAGAGACAAACATTTTGTATCTGGATGTATTTGTAGTGATTTCAACAGTTAATGTTGCATTGTGTTCTCTTTGTAGGGCTGTACGACCCCTACTCGAGCCAAACTAGTCTCTTTGTTGTCAACACTAGGAAGTACAGTAAGTAACACTTATTTTTCTAACCAAAGTGTTGATAAAACTGCCTCCTTAGTCATTTTGTCCCTGTCCTTGTACCACCACAGTACTCTATCCATTGTTTATCTCAGACTTGCTGTCATTGGCAGTAGTTCTTTGCTAAACTGCAACAATAAATTTTAATGGTAATCTTGCTTAGCATTTTTGGTGCTGAACTATCAGATTTGGTAAAATTTTTGTGTCTAGAACACAACTTTAAGTTACTTATTTACTCATTTAAACTATGATAATGAATCCTGGTGGATGCATTGATCATGCTTGTGCAGTGTACAAGTTCAGAGCCCTTGACCCCTTAATTACAGAGTTATTGTTCTTTATTAGATATATTGTCCAGAGCATTACTTTGCCTACGGTTGAGCAAGTATCAAAAAAGTTAATGTATACATTGAACATGCCAAGACAATAAGCTGTGTACCAAATTCAGGGCAGTTTACCTCTCAATTACACAGTTATTGCCCTTTGTTAAAATTTTGTGTCTGGAGCATTACTTTGCATGGATGTTGAAATGGGATGTAAACATCAGACATGCAAAAGCAAGTTGCAGTAGAACACCTACTAGCCTAGGCCCATGACTCCTTAGTGCAGAGACATTGCCCTTAGTTTAAATTTTGTGTCATCAGCAAAGCTTTGCTTGCATTAAAATTAGGACTATGAAACTTGGTGTATACATTTGTCATGTTAAGAGAATGTGCTGTTTACCAAATTCAGAATTATGACCCTTTATTAAAATGTTGTGTTCAATAAAGTTGCTTTTGGGGCCATATTCATCAGTTTCATCAATACTCTTGTTGAAACCAGTAATTTACTCCATCCATGTCATTACAGGTGAAAATTATTAAATCAAATGCATGATTTGTAGTTGGATGTAAAATTATTTACCAAATTGGTGTACATGTACTTCAGATTGAAAGAAGTAAGGATATTTAGTTACATCTTGATTTTAGCTGGCTGTGTGATCAGTGTTTATGTATTCAGACTAACTGTAGATTTTTATTTCCATTTTCAGGGAGCCAAAGCACTGGAGGAGTTTGTTGAGAGTATAAAGGTAAGAGTGAAACAAGGTTTACAAATTCATACTTACTAGTAATCTATCAATAGTAGGGGAATAGTACAGACCTATTGGGCCTCTTGTTATTGAGTGATATGTCAGTATACTGAGTAAATACTTGTTCCTTTTCATTTCAGAATGATCCAGACAAAGCCTCCATGCCAAGAGATGGTACAGTCCATGAGTTAACAAATCATGTGAGTTATCTTCCAGTACATTTATTTTGTGTCAGAGGTATAAATATGGTTAAGTTAACTCTTGATTTGTACAATTCTTAATCCTCAAATTGAATTTGAATTGATAATTGGTTTATTTTGAATCTTCAGACTATTATATTCCTGGAGCCACTCTTAGACTATGCTGATACTGCAGGTGCTATGCTGTTAATGCATGGTGAGTAAATTTGATCAATGTTTGCATAGTGTAAGTCTAGTGATATCACAGGCAAGACCTATGCTGACACTGATGTCATGTATTTAAATTTATGTTGGCAACAATCTCATTGAATGAATTCTGTGTCAATCAAACAGTAAATTGAAGCATTAAGATTGCAGTGTTTACAAAGAATGACATCAATGATAGCATGGACCAAGTCCTTTGTTGTCAATGATAGCATGGGGCAAGTCCTTTGTTGTCAATGATAGCATGGGGCAAGTCTTATGTTGTCAACGACAACGTGGAACAAGTCCTATGTTGTCAATCCTGTGTTGATTCAACAGTAAGCTGTAGCATAGGGTTAAAGGTATAACATAGAATGGTGACATCAGGGGGAAAAATGCTCAAACTTAAGCTATAGCATACAGGTCAGAATCTTATGTACATTATACAAATAGTATTTGATGAGTCCTGTGGAGTCTAAAAAGTAATCTGTATTATATGATTTCTTTGTGTAAGGAGTTATTTCTGATGTGACTATAAATCAATCAAGAAAGTATCAGAAGTTGAAAAATATTGGTATGGTTATGATTCATGTAGTCTGTATGGTTTCATCTACAAAAGTCTGATAAAAATAAAATCTCATCAAAGTCATGAAGTTTCAGGGATTTTCGATGTTTATCTCCGATCATGTTAGCATTTTTTACCTATTTGAATTCCAGGAGAACAAGCTGCTCCATCTGAAGCTGTTGATGCTAAGAAGAGTAAACTCAAGCTTGCAGAATACTGTAGTAAGTATCAATTGTAACGGCAATTTTCTATCATTGTAAAATATAGTGAAAATAGTGAGAATTCACAGAAATGTACCTATTTTCAGCTTATTTTGTCTGGACATTCAGGCTTTTATGTCACAGTGATTGACATCTCATCACTCTGAATATTGATTCAGCTAGAATGAAACCCTTTGATCAGTCTTCCCTAAGATTATGCTATTATCTAAAATAAAAATTTGTCTTCATTTTTTCACTTAGCTGATCAAGTATAACATCATGAAAAGAGATGTCACATGTGCTTGGTTAAACAAAAACTTAAGTTTAAGATTGTTTCATGATCACCGTCTATGATCATTTTATTTTTTGTCTGGATTTTAATTAAAATTTTATTGTCAGTATAAATATCTCTTGTAGTTACCTCTGATTGTTTTATAAAGCAATACATAATTTATTTAATTCATCTACATATATATATAATTCCTTATTTGTTAATTGAGAAACTAGAGAAGTGAACGACATGTTACAAAGGAATCAAAGGTTTAACATGAGACATTTTTCTTCAGCCAAAGTTCTATCGGCATTGGGTCTGAATCTGAGCAACAAAGCAGAGACCTATAGTGATCCAACACTGAGGCCTGTATTTATGTTAAACAACTACAACTACATCCTTAAGTCTATACAAAGGTAAGAGCATGCTTTAGATTAACATGTTTCATGTCTAAAAAGTTCTATGCCTAAATAGATTTTGGGGTCAATATACCAGGGTTAAAGGGTCAATGGTCATAGGTCACTTAGACAGCATCAGAAATGAAAAGCTTTGTCTACATTTTGAAAGTAATAACTGAAGCATAAATCTAGACAAATCTGCAGATAGCAAAACACTGGTCAATGTTCGTCAGTCAGCAAATCAAATACAGCAGATCTGGCTCTATTTCACAAACAAGCAAACCTGGTCCAACTCTCAAAACAATAAAGGAAAATGACCCTTGTGTAAAATATATCTTACGAGCTCTTAACAGATTAAGGTATTGAATGTTTTTACACCATAATATCAGAACAATTTTATAAGTTCTATGTTTTACTGTGTCTTTGTTCTTAATGTCCTTACTATAGTTTGTCAATGTTGACATGTATGTACACATCCATACTTAACTAACCATCAGTGTAAATTTCAGTCACTGATAGATCACTTTATCAAGAATAAGTCATTCGACTATCAAAGTGAAATCAGAATTTTGTTATATATATGTATAGATCTGGATTATTGGATCTCATCCACACCTGGCATAAAGAGGTGGGGCAGTATTATGAAGACAAGATTCAGGAAGAAAAGAAGCACTATTCTCAGAGGTAAGTTAACTTCAGAAAAAATAGGATTATCGGCTTCAAAGCTAAACAAAGCCCTAGCCTGATAGATAAAATACTTAAAAGTAAAGTCCATATTTGTCAAGTCCCCCAGTGGACTATGTTCTAAAGACAGGATACATGTCTTGTTTATGATTAAGATCCTGATAGGAATTAAACATTTTCACTCAGCTGTTAGTTTGTATAGTATAGTTTTTTTCATATAACCAGCATAGATAGACCAATCTATACTAATGACAAGAATAAGAATGAATGTAATCACCCAACTTGAATATTCCAGGTAAAATTCAATGCGAAAAGTGATTTCTGATCAAAATATAACACACATAGTGAGAAAACTGTTACAATCTGACTTTATGATGGTCACTGTATCAATTTATAGCTGGAGTCGGGTGATGCATTACATATTGGAAGTCAATGAGCCCATGTCTATGCAGAGAACACAGTCCTTGGAAACAGCAAAGGTATTCTATAGCAATATCTTATAGTTGACTGACCACAACCTTTACAGCAAATGTCTTGTGATCAATGACCATATTTGTTACATAAATTATATCAGATTTCTGGGTTGTATTCGATAATTTTACTATTAACATTGAATTGAAAAATTATCACAATTGGAAGCAATAGTCTACATTTATGGACCAAACCTGTTTATTGTACTTTTCTATTTTCTGTTTTAGTTGAAGGACAAAGAAAAACAGAACATCAAAGACAAGTTTACAGTGAGTATGACCATTGTTGCTCTTGCTTTCTAATATGGATATAAAATAGCAACTTAATTTTGTGGCAATTAACAGTTGTGAGAAGCCCAAGAATATCTGGTGCAGTTCAAATCCAATGCATCGTGCTCTATTATAACCTTGTTATCCTCTCCTTCTTAGAGTGTTTGCTGTATAAGCTTATAGTAGGATAATTGTAAGATATTGAAGAACAGTGCAAAATACTTTTCTTATAAATCAGAATAAACTCTGTAATAAAAGCACACACTATGAATGCAGTTATACCTGAAATAGTCTGGTGGTTAGAGGGATCTACAGAAATGTCAAAAAATGTATCAACAGACAAGAATTAAATTCTTTGACAGCTTGAATTATTACTTGTAATCATATAGCGTACGATTATCTATGCACACAGGGATTCAACAAGGAATTAGAGGAGATCTTAAGAATACAGAAAGGCTATGCTATACCTGACCAGGAGTTGAGGGAGATGCTGAAGAAAGAAAACAGAGACTTCATTGTACCATCTTATACTGTCTTCCTACAGAAATATGAGAAACTGAATTTTACCAAGAACAGGGATAAATACATCAAATATTCCATTCAAGATGTTGAAGCTATTATTGGAAAGTTCTTCGACACATCTGCTTAGATACTGAACCAAGAAAAATAGAAAAAAAAAACCATTCCGGTATAGGCAATCTCTGCACTATTTGTGAAATGCGCTTTTGATGAAATTGATAAAAAGGATCTATTAAACTTACATTTGCATTCACCTCTACATTTTAAAGACTAAGAGTTTTAAGGCACTGTAGATCTATGATTTTTTTTTTGTGTGCTGTTGTCAAAGAATAATTGCTAACATACATGTGACATTGTGATTTATATAACATAGGCAAAGAATCATTCATGTTGTCACCTCTTCAGAAATAATGAAGAAATTCTTTTATCATTATCCACTAGTGTTGTGGAGATTTGATGTAAAGCAGTTCTTGACCTAGTTAATTTAAGCTGCCATTTATCTACAAGAATAGACGACCCAGTGGAACTTGGATAAAAATGTGGCATGCAATTATAAAGGAGAACTAGTCAAAACTGATATTAAGGTCACTGGTGATTGTAAAGTTAACTATAGATGGCAAGGCTTTCAGTTCATTTTTCATGTCTCCTCTTGCCAGTTGAGACTTACTATTTCTGTATTAGATTTGTACACTACATGTAAAGAACATAGGTATACAAGTTCCTAAGGCTTATTGTATTCATTCACATTCTACCAAACACCTGGCTTCTGTGTGTGGGAATTGTGCAATAGTTGATATGTAAGATTTGAGCTTCAATAAATTATGTATACATTATTGAGTTTTGTTTAATGCTCTGGTAAAGTAATTTCTAGTCACATCCTGCTATTACATCCACTTTCAAGCTGGTTGTCCCACTGCCTTTTCAGTGTTCTTGGCTGAAGTTGAAAAATGATAGATCTGTGATTCAAAATTTAAATGCTTATACTAGAGACCCATAAGATCTGTATTGCTCATCTAGATTTGGCAAAAAATTCTTAATCGAAACCAAAGGAAAAGAAAGTCAAAAGGTTTATAACTGTTTTCCCTTTAAGCCAAAACTCTTCTGCCCCCGGAGTGTTTACAAAACCATGTATACTAAAGTCTCCTAAACCAAATTTTTTTCAGACAAAATTGGGACTGAATATTTTTCCCAAAGTAGCAGGATTTTTTATTTTTAAAGAATTTTCTCTACAGTATTTCCCCTTCTGGACCTCACCTCTACTGCTCAAGGGGGTCGAGACCTACTGTTAATAAAAAATTGATTTTCCTTAACTCCAGGATGCTTCAGACCAAATTGGAACAGAATCCTGGGGCAGAGACCCACCTTCTATACAAAATGGTTCCCCTTTCACCTAATAATGATTCATATGAAATTGAGAAAAAATCCAGGCATCGGTACAGGAGGAGTAGAATTTCAAAGATTTTGCTATTTTCTGCTTATTGGCCCTTGCTCCTCTAGTACCATGTGGCCGTGACGTAATGTTATTAAGAATTGAGTCTCCTTCAACCACTGATACTTCAGACCAAGTTTAGGCAAAATCCAATCATTCCTACAAAAGGAGTAGGGTTTTAAAGAATTTGCTCATTTCTTCTGTTAGGCCCTAACTCTCCTATTCCATTGAGCAGAGACCCACCATTTATAACAGTTTATTACCATTCCTCTAAGGATGCTTCTCACTAAGTCTGGTCAAAGCTGTCTGTGTCTAGTAGCAATTTTCACAAACAAAATTTACAGACAATGCCCCATCCTTCTGACCAGGCGAGCTAACAACTAAATGATTTCAATGCAAATAACCAAAAGATTTAGATTTTTCATTTAAAGAATCTTCTTTTTTCTGTTATGTTTTTACATAATTCAGTTATAAAATGTACATCATAATTCAACAAATGACACGTGGATGAAGCTATCACAGTTTTATAGTCCATTTCCTACATCCACATCTTTAACATTAAATTGCTGTATATATGATAATTGCTTATTCATCAGCTTCAGTTACAGTTTCCAGAAACAGTCGATGCGATAACAGGACAAGTTAAAGTTATCAAACCAGACACCTAGCTATATGATTGAAACGATACATTGTGGTGACTATTCCAAAAAGCATTTCTATTCACTATATCATTCCAATGAATTGCCCTTTACTTTGTGTTAGCATGATTGGTTATTCTTCACTCTGTTTGCTATATCTAGTGAACTAGGTCACAGAATTCTTTTATACGATGAATGTCTTTAATTCGCAGTGTCTTAATAAACAAGTTGCCCTTCAATCATATTGTTACCCTAGTCCTTAACTTCCAGTATGTCACTAAGATGAGCTGTAGTATCCCAATAATTTGTCCTTACTCCAGTGTGTCAGGATTTGTCCTTGACCTCTAATGTAACACAAATGTGAGTCAACAATTTGTCTGTGACTCAGCGTGTCACTAAGAGTTTTCCATTATCTAGTGGAGGATGTGTCCGTTCTCTAGTGGAGGATGTTTGATGTCTATCTTGCCTTGTAATAATCATTAAAGTTAAGACGTAACAAGAGTTCCTGTAAATGGGGTTGATATCCTCTTATGGCCAGCTTGTTCACAACTATAAAACAAAACAAAGAAATAAGAGAAAATTGATTTCATAACAAATTTTACTTAATTGGAAATAACATGGACTGTATAACAATCAAAGAGTTAAATATATGACTTCATATCGATAATGTGGAATGTCATTTTAGTCGGATCATAATACAGTATTCTGTTATGACATGACTGAATGGAAACTTCCATGAATGTTTGTTAAATAATGAACAAGGCAATTGATCAGTGAAGCATTTCTGCAGAATAATGTTAACAGAACTGTGTAAATCATATATGAACTGATAGGAACATATGTATCAATTAAGGACAAGCAGAACACTTCAAAGTGATGGTGATGCTTGATGGAATATTATTGTGATGAAATTAAAATCTATTACGGCTGACTCAATAAGAGGACAGTATACTCACTTTTGAACAGAAAGACGGAGTACTCCCTGAAGGCTTTATAAGATGCTACCATGTTCTGAAAATTAGAATGAGCAGGATGTCCTGTGTCCACATCATACCGCCATTCTGCATTAACCAACTGTAGTCTGAACTTGAGGATTAGAGAAAAGATGTCTTGTATAATTTTCATCACTGCTCCAGCCTTCTTGTTCAGTAAGCATCTGTCACATAAAAAAGAATTCCATGTCACCACTAATTATATCCAGAACTAAATATTGTCTCGAAATTAAGCACAAAGGGATCAAGGGGGTCTACATTTATACTAAGAAACATTCTCTTTCAAAGATGATGCTCCAAAAAGACAAACATTCAACTGCAATGTTTTTGAAATAGATCCAGTGGTGATGTATTGCCCAGGGATAGTTACCTGAAGATGGCTTTGTCCAGATAGTTGGAGTGGACCTTGTGTAGGTCATCAAGGTTATGAACATCATTACTGAGAGCTTCGGTAAACTCGCACCATGTTACATGTATCACTTGGTTTGCTATGTAACCCTGCATCACCTTTACAAAGTGCTGCATCTCCTGCCTGTAATAAAATTCCTCATTATTCTACCAAAAATCTGTTGTTGTTAGATAGATACACAGAATTAGGAGTAAATAAAAAGATCCTATGGTAGACACATCATCTGCAGATAAGTCCTTACTAGTCACTGCATTTCTAATTAATCTTTAAAATTTTTAAATCATGATGATCTTCTGATAATAAAATCATTTTTCATTTGATACTCTTATTTCTTGATAAGAGCAAAACATTTCCTGGTCTCAAAGAAACTTTACAATAAATCCAAGCAAATGTTTACCTGTAGAGCTGGAGCTGACGAAATTGAGAGGAGCCGCCTGCTTTGTGAACCAATGCTACAATGAAGAGATGTGAATTATTGCTTCAATTGATAGAAACATTTGAACACAAGATTACGATGTTGATAGCAGATACTGGTTATACACAAGTGTAGGAAACAACAACCTTTTTCTCTGGACAAGTGTTCTATGACTTTCCTAACTGAGATTTCATTTAATCTTCCACAACGTAGTTAGGTAACAAGACATGTCTGTGATGTCAAAAGGAAAACTGAACATCACTCAATAATTGATTTGGTGTCACATTATCAATCTCCACCCTAAAGGTAAGATTCCTAAATTGTTGAAACCTTCCAAAATCTCAGATAGAATATATCCCGAGTTTTACTTATATGGTTGATAGTTGTATACCTGTGAAATATACTATCTAATATCATTACAGATTTCATGGATGACTTACAACATGGACAAATACAGGACTTCTACATCATTACGAAAAGGACATTAAAGAATTTTTTTACAGCAGCTTTACATCAAACAGCAGTAAAAAGTCCAAGCAAAATAGTTAGTATATATAATTGTAAAGACACACTTCAACTGGAAATGAACTGTTCAAACTATTTTCAGCTGAAGTATTTATATGTTGAGAATGCTGACCATCACGTTTCAGTCTGTACCACACATCTTTTAGCACCCACACTGTACGCTTCAGCTGCAGCATGAAGGAAAAGACTTTACTGTACTTGCTGATGAGGGAATCTGTTATCACAATGTTCAGTGGCCAGGTCACCTGATAATAAACAAGCTTACAGTTAGTTTTGCAAACTGCAATCTGAAACCAAAAATCTATTCTCAGCACAGGTGACCTTTGTAGTTGACCTCTTGACCCTAAACACAATCCCACACTAGGTCTCCTTCTAAACTTATATTTGTTATCATCATGAAACCAGACAGAGAGATGGATGGACCAACGAACAGACACTGGAGTCCCTCCGGTTTCACTGTCAGGGGACCAACAAGGACATATAGTCATTCAGATCTCACCCCAAAAGACCCCCAGTCATGGGCATGACATCCAGCAAGATATTTAATAAGTTGTTTACAGGTAATAGTGAATATAGGACAATTCAGAACAAAATCGGCAATTAAAGTCTTATCAAAGAAATGATTTTAATCAGTTCTGAAGATATGTTCTAAAAATGCTGGAATCAGGGAATGTGACAGTCTGTTTCCATGGTAACCACGAAAACATTAAAACTGAAAACTGATCCATAGAAAAAGGCACTACTAGACCACTGTATAGAAAGATTGTTTTAGTTATCTTTAAAGATTTTGGAGATATGCACTAAATGCCTCTGTATGGATGAACAGACAGCCAGATGGAATGACACACAGAATCTGTTTTATACATGTAACAAGCACATTGTCTGTGGAATACCAGGGAACTGGGTGAATGAGAAGATCTACCACACAGCATTATAGGGTTCTTTGTACACATATCTTCACCTATTTACTTTTTCACTACCACACAGCATTATAGGGTTCTTTGTACACATATCTTCACCTATTTACTTTTTCAACCCACAAAAATATTACACAATCTACCTAAGATACCACACAGCATTATTTCTTTGTACACATATCTTTATTTACTTTCTCTCTATTTCAGAATTGAATATTAATAAAAACAAGCATTTTCTTACATTGATCATTAAAAATTATCATTAAAAATTCAACCATAGCTACCATCAGAATATGAGTACACACTTCTTTACAACTATATCATTCCAGAAAATGTTGAACTCTAACCCCTTTTTAAAATTCCATGATCTGTCTTAAGATACCTACCTCTGTTACATATTAAAATTTTGATGTGTAAGGGTAGCATTTTGGACGTTACATTGAGCTCTATATCAATATCAAGCATTGAAAATGACCCTCCCTTCCACAAAATTATGTCTTCAAATTTGACGACTGCCATTTCTAGGAATAAACTCCCTAGAAAACAACTTACCTTGTATCGTAGCTCTAAACAGTCCAAAGTGTCATGAGCTGAAACGAGGGAAAAAAACTGATATTCTTTGTTGATGATCATGTCACAAAGTAAAATATCCCAACTTCAAATATAGGTCTGTTAATGTAATACACTTTTATTTGAATTTAAAAAAATTCACTTGAAACCATGTAAATTGAATAATTAAAAAATATTCAGGATGGGACAACAAGCTTGATAGGCGGGTGATGAGGTAATTTCATCAGATGTTTCTGGGAATTACTGGGAATAATCATTTAAACTGGTCACAGATAAAGATAACATACCATTTTGCATCAAGACTTTCGGAACATATCGTAACGCAAAGCTGAGATTGTCTGCAAACGGATCATCAGCATGCATGGACGATTTCAGGGCCTTGTTGAGAGCATTGGTCAAAAACACAGGGTTCAGCATCTCTTGGGCCTTAGGACTGTTGGCAAGCTTCAAATAAAAAACAATAAGAAATTTTGAAAATACAGTGTTCAAAGGCCCCTAGGTCTATCTTAAAGATCTTTTTGGAAAATGAATACCTAAGTAAAGTAATGCTAGTGCTGAGTACATCATTTCACATTTACCAACTGTGACTAAGAATGCTGTTTTGTCAGGGATGCAAAAATTGTATTTATTTTCCCCCTCTGGTAGTTAACACTTTCACATCAATATAACACATATAGTTCCAGGTATGAGGTGAACAGTTATTAAGCATGACGGATATGAATGAAATCTACCAACCAGTGGTAAAATTATGATACGAGGTCTCCCTAGTACATATAGCACTGCAGAACACATATCATATGATAATCTATTGACAATTTACTGAAATGGGAAAAGTCCTTTACCTTTTCCAAAAGTATGTCACTGAGGATTTGTGCAAAGTCTCCATCGCCCATAAAGAGATAACATCTAAGAGCCTCAAAGTGGTTCTTTATCTCCAGGTCCACAGTAAAGTAGTTGATCACATTGTCATTCACCAGAGAGATCCTATAAAACAAGTAAAATCAACAATCCAGGAAGGTGGAATTATATAATATGGCTTCATGTACAGTCTGTGTTGAAATATCCATCACATGATAAGTTACCCATGTGGCAGGTATCACTATACTTTTTTCAAATATTGAGAATTTAAGAAATTGAACATATTCCTGACAATAGGAGAACATTTCAGCCATTTTGGATTTCTTTCACATCAGGAGTAGATATTTACTCTCTCTACCCTCTACTAGACAACAAAGATAATTAACACAACAATGAGTCTTCTTAGTCAAGCTGTGTTTCACACATTCTGGTCCATATTATATACTCATTTAAACATTGTCTATCATTAACACATTGTCTACAACCACTTGTCATTTACACATTTTCAACCATTCAAACGATGTCTACCATTCATGCATTGTCTCACATTTGGGCTGTCTACCATACATATATTGTCTACCTATATACAATGTCTACCAGTCATGCACTGTCTACCATTCATGCATTGTCTCACATTTGGACTGTCTACCATACATATATTGTCTACCTATATACAATGTCTACCAGTCATGCACTGTCTACCATTCATGCATTGTCTCACATTTGGACTGTCTACCATACATATATTGTCTACCTATATACAATGTCTACCATTCATGCACTGTCTACCATTCATGCATTGTCTCACATTCACACATTATCTCACATTGGAACTGTCTACCATTCACATGTCTGCAATTCACAAGTCATTCATAAATTGTCTACCAATCACACTTTGTCTACCTGGTCTTTCAACCACATGTCATTTACACATCTTCTATCTCTCAAACACTGTCTACCACTCATACATTGTCTCACATTTTACACTCTCTATCATTCATATATTGTCTATCATTTATACAATGTCTACCATTCATGCATTGTCTACCATTTATACAATGTCTACCATTCATGCATTGTCTACCATTTATACAATGTCTACCATTCATGCATTGTCTACCATTTAAACAATGTCTACCATTCATGCATTGTCTACCATTTAAACAATGTCTACCATTCATGCATTGTCTCACATTTTGGACTGTCTACCGTTCATGAAACGTCTACCATTTATACAATGTCTACCATTCATGCATTGTCTACCATTTAAACAATGTCTACCATTCATGCATTGTCTCACATTTTGGACTGTCTACCGTTCATGTAACGTCTACCATTTATACAATGTCTACCATTCATGCATTGTCTACCATTTAAACAATGTCTACCATTCATGTATTGTCTCACATTTTGGATTGTCTACCGTTCATGTAACGTCTACCATTTATGCAACGTCTACCATTTATGTATTGTCTACCATTCACATAATTTTATCTATGTACATGTTGTCTACCAAGAACAACATTTATCATATTATTGAAGGTATATTAGTCCTTTCATGATTTAATTACCTTCCTGGGCCTTGACTTTTAATAAACTTACTGAGCTAATAGAGGTCCTGTGACAGATCGCTCCAGAAGCTGAGGAAGTGGCATGTAGCGGTACAAATCTACATCATCAGTCTGACTGATTCCATAATCACCAAACCTGCCATAGGCAGATAGCTCCTTAGACGACAAAAGATCAACAACAGGCGTATTTGCTGTAAAAAAAAAAAAAATTTGATATTGAACTTAATGCCTGCACTCAAAACTCTCAAGTAACGGCTATCATAATAACAATACAATTTCTTAACACAATTCTTTATCTAACATCACTTATGAAGGTAAAAATTCTGAAAAAAACCTCAGATATTAAAAAATGCACAAGTTTATACCAAGGTGATAAATTTATGTCCTTGTATATCATGATATTTTCACCCAAAGTTATTTTCACCCTTGTACTCAGGTTCATTTCACCCTCTAAGGATTATCTTAAATTCACTCTCCCTCTTCATTGATGAAATGGGCCAAAACTAAACAGAGGTGAAAATTTTCTGCAACACAGTGCTTTAGAAATAAAAAAAATGTGATTACCTAGCCTTGGTAAGAATACAAATTACACCATTAGAAGGTTAGTTATACCGATATACACATTTCAAACAAAACAAATCACATCATATAGCTAGAATGAATAAACTGCTTGGACATTGTTATGATAAGATATAAATTATGAGAATAATTTGTTTACACACTTACTCAGGAACTCAAAGTTGTCCTCGTAGGTGAACATTTGTGTGGCAGGTGAGTCCAACCAAACAGGCTCTTTTCTGATATCATCAACTTCTGAAAGAAAAAAAATTTCTTCTTAAAAACAGATGACATCACCATGTAAAACATCTACCTCAGGTTGGCAAGCATTGAAGAAAGAATGTTATACATGGATTATCAATAAGGTATTAAAAAGGTTCAAAATGTTTCATTTATCAGTTCATTTTCATATTTCTTTCAGTCATGGAGAAAATAAATGGCATCAATCTCTATATGACAGGGCTCCCATATCACATTTCATCTATGTCCAATATATTTTTGATGACCTGATATCTGAGACTTGTTCTTTACCACATGTTTTGTCAGTAAGGCGAAAATGACTCATCATTACCTTGCTCTTTGACCTCATGTTTGGCTTTTTTTTCACCATACAACAGTTTCTGGACAGTTGAGTCTGACGAATGGCCGTGAATATTGAAAGATTTAAACTTCTGAAGTCTGTTTTCATCCTGATCAACCATTTCACTCTCCACTGAGGCTGACATCTGACCAATCTTGATACCAGGCCTACTGTACTCTATAGGTTTAGACTCAGTGGTTGACGACATGGTCTTACTCATGCGGATTCTGGGTTTTATCCCAAAGTCTTTACTAAATTTTGATTCAATAGATGAATGAAATTGTTCAGACTTTTTCAGTCTCGGTGCCTGAATCACAAATTCGTCTCCTGAAGTGGACATCTTTGAAACGTGACCAAAAGTGCTTGATTTTTTTATCAGCCACTCTGTTGACTCGGTCTCTTTAGTACCATGCATTTCCTCACTTTTCTTCATGCGAGGTAGCGCCCTTTCCTCTGTTGACTGTTTGTTAGCACTCATACCTGTTGCAGTCCTTCTGTGGGGCACCACTCCCTCCTGAGATTCTGTCTCTTTGGAGACATGCATTCCTTCTGCCAATTTTATGTGTAAGCACTCTGGATTTTCTACACTTTCCTTGTTCACATTGACGTTTTGTACCAGTTTGATCTGTAACTTGTGTCCATCATCTGGATCAGTTTCTGATGTAGCATGCTTATCTGGGAAGACATAAATACTTGATTTTGTTGGTGATTCTTCTGTCTGAGCTGTTGCATAAAATGTATCACTTAAGCGTTTGCCTGTCTTCAAGGTCGGAGTTGGAGGTCTTTGAAGTGTGGGTGTGGATGGTCGCCCAGCTGGACGGGATGGAGGAGTTGGAAGGGAACGAGGGGTCTTGGTCTTCTCTGGTGACAAATCCTCTCCTGTTTCTGATCTGTTGATTGGTAAAAGTGAAGTAAGGAAATGATGTTACAATTCAAAGTTGTAAGAAATGTTTCACTTTATCAAATTAAGTTTCATTTACAGAAGAACAGTATTTCATTTATGAAATTTTGTAATAACTTGTTCTGAACACTGAAGGGAAAACCAACCAATTAGTCATCTTTCTAAGTTGTAGATTCATTTAATCTGTGCAGTAACTCTGCTGACATATTCCAGACATCCAGACTAGTTTCAAAATGGCTTACAAATTGAAACTGACAAAGAGCTTTTTTTTTCTTTTTTTTTTTTAAATTCCACAAACAAAATAAAGAAAACAACCAATATATGAAATAAATCAACATCACTGCAAAAGTGTCAAAATTAAATACTCATAATATATATCTTATATATTTGTATGTATGTATTTTTGTGTGTGCTCAAAAACAGTAAATGTACTAAAATTTTCTTAATTTTGCATTGGTTCCATGTCAACTTAAAATTTTGAAATCACAAAAGTTGAAATAACATAAAGGTAACCCTCTTTACTCTGGTTAATTCATATGGGAAGTTTGAAGTTAAATTACTCTTCAAATGTTAACGAAAACAGACCAATGCACAAATGGAACCTGTGTGAATGATCACTGCTCAGGTAAATTAGAAGCCAAAACGATTGTTTTTCTTAAGAGCTACCAAATGTCTAGATATTTGAAACAAATATCAATCAAACAGAGCTACATATATTCTAACAAATAACCCTCTATCCAAAATGAAAAATTTAAGAAGGAAAATCAATATACAGTTGAGAGCAACCTGATATTACCACTAACATCTATCTAGTGCATTAGTTGTTCAATCACATTTGTATCTACAGACAGATGTAGTTCTTATTGTATCTACAGACAGATGTACAAATGGACACACCCCTCAATCTTGATATTGTACTTACTGTGGTAGTTCTTGTTGTATCCACAGACAGATGTATAAATGGACACACCCCTCTATCTAGATATTGTACTTATTGTGGTAGTTCTTACTGTATCTACAGACAGATGTATAAATGGACACACCCCTCTATCTTGTGTTTTACTTATTGTGGTAGTTCTTACTGTATCTACAGACAGATGTATAAATGGACACACCCCTCTATCTTGGTGTTGTACTTATTGTGGTGTTGTACTGTATTGTGTATAAAGTATTGTACTTATTGTGGTAGTTCTTGCTGTATCTACAGACAGTTGTACAAATGGACACACCCCTCTATCTTGGTGTTGTACTTATTGTGGTAGTTTTGCTGTATCTACAGACAGATGTACAAATGGTGTTGTACTTATTGTGGTAGTTCTTGCTGTATCTACAGACAGATGTATAAATGGACACACCCCTCTATCTTGTGTTTTACTTATTGTGGTAGTTCTTACTGTATCTACAGACAGATGTATAAATGGACACACCCCTCTATCTTGGTGTTGTACTCATTGTGGTAGTTCTTACTGTATCTACAGACAGATGTATAAATGGACACACCCCTCTATCTTGGTATTGTACTTATTGTGGTAGTTCTTACTGTATCTACAGACAGATGTATAAATGGACACACCCCTCTATCTTGATATTGTACTTATTGTGGTAGTTTTTACTGTATCTACAGACAGATGTACAAATGGACACACCCCTCTATCTTGATATTGTACTTATTGTGGTAGTTCTTACTGTATCTACAGACAGATGTATAAATGGACATACCCTCCAACTTTGCACTGTACTTACTGTGGTAGCTCTTGTTGAGCCCAGGCAGGCATACTGGAATCAACAGTTAAAGTAGTAGTCCTGGTAAGTCCTCGCTGTGCCCACCCTGGCAGAGGGGTGTCTTCCTCACCAGTCACAATGACCGGTCCATCTCTTCCTTTTTCAACTGCCCATGATGGAAGATTGGCTGTGTCAGCCAGCATCTGATCATATCAAGTTCACAAGTAAATTATCATTAGTAAATGATCTAACAATGGCATATACAATACGTCTTCAAATGTAACTGTTGTCAACCAATGACAGACGGACGGATGGACGGAGGGTCAAAGAAGTGACTATATGCTCTCCCTTCAGAGAGCAAAAAAATTGGAATATATTTCAGAGTACTTTATTTCACCTCAATTTAGAAAAATTTAGAAAGATGACGTCAGCTTTTACATCACATATTGTCAGCTATAAAATATCTTATACAATATCCATTAACAAGAAACAAGATGTCATTCGATGGCTTCTATTTTTATATCAAAGCTGAGAATTAAACATAACAAATTTATCTACATTTGTGGCATTACACAATGTAAATTTTAAATACTCACATTGTCAGGCTTCTGGGCAGTAACGGGTTCCTAAAACAGTAAGCCATTAGTTATGTCTAATAAATCACTCCTTACATTTCACTCGTGTGTTGTCATTGCTCAGTCAGACTTTATTTCTCAAAACATTTACATCTCATGTTAAAGTTCATTTACAATGGCAATGAGAAACTGAAACAATGTATAAAGTTTTAACTCATGTTTTTAAATAATCTGTGATGTGAGAAATCCATTGAAAGTAAGAATTATCATTAGTTACTTAATGTGGACACAAAATTGAGAATAGACTTTCAAAAAGATTTGTAGAAAAAAGTATCCAAAACATACTGTAACAATTGATGACTTGTCAAGTTCTGCCTGCCAGCGTACATCATCCTGTTGTAGAAAGTCACGCCTGGTCTCAGCTAATTGTGCCCGTTTGACATGCCATAATGCCCGCTGTTCTCTCAGAGTTGCCTCCTCACTCAGCTTGCTGTAGTATTCTATCAACTCTTCTCTGTAAACATTACAAAACTGCTGTGAATTGTGTGCCAGCCTATTGGACAAATCTTTTTATCACTTTCTTCTGCCATGAATCCTGGACCGGCTTACTTGGCAACTCTTTTTTTTCACCTTCATTTATCAGTTTCTTACAGATATTTCTTCCCAAAGAAAAATATGAAAAATTGAAAATCCTGTGGAGAAGTGAGGAAGGAAAACCCCTAGAGAGTGATCACAGGCCATTTTCTGATAATGTCAAGAAATAATGTGCTTGCTGACGAGGAGTGTGATGTTAAAATTCTAATTTTCAGTGACAGCTTTAGCCTAATCAAACAAAACAGTCAAACACAGTCTTTGTTTTCAAACAAAACCACAAACTGATTATGTACAAAAGTGTAAGAACAGAATTATAAATGATCCAGGTACCTTGCTTTCCTCTCCAGCTCTAGCTCTTGAATCGACATGGCTTCCTCTTGCTTTGTCACTCTAGCAATCATCATCTTGTCTTCCTGTTTGATTTGTTCTTTTTTGTCTGCTCGTCTCTGAAATCACACACATAGCATATAACATGAAAATTTAAAGGCACATTCTTCCTCACTGATTTCCCCCAAAAATAACTTTACAAGAAAAAGTGATAATTATACAGTTTTAAGTTTTCTCATGCACAATTTCTATCTTGCAACATATAGTACACAAAACAGTGTTGCAAAAATAGGTACTAATGAAATAAATTTCGTCAGGAGTGATCTGTACTGAGAACCAAAATTATGATTCATTGATGTAACAAACAGAATAAGCCTACCTGTAAGTCTGCTTCCATCTGATCCTTAAGAAACTGGAACTCTTTCCTTTTCTTTGTGTCTTGGATTACTTTGTTTTCTTGCATTCTAGCTGTAGAAATAAAATTTAACAAAATATTATCATAAATATATTCACAATCAAAGACATGATTTATTTAGAACATCACACTTTCCAGATATATATCAAACACTGTACAGTGTTTGGAACTGCTTTAAAATAAAGACAACTAAACTTTGGAACATGTTTTAAACCATTTGAACAAAATTAATATTCCTTTCCTTTACTTACAATAAACTGAATGAAGTTCCTACCAAGCACTAAAACTAAGGTACAGTTTCTTACAGATAAAAACAAATGAAATCTTTTTCTTACCATGACTTATCTTTAACTCACCTTGCAGTTTCTGTATCTCTTGTGTAGCCACCTCTTTTGCTTTCTGTAACAAATCTTTCTTTGCAGCCTCTTCTATCTCGAGCTTCTCTTGTCTGTAAACAATTTAATTGTTATTTTAGCAAACACAAACATCCAGCTGTGGAATTTGTTATATTGAGGCTATCAATAATTCTAGTATACAACCAACTAAACTTTTCTTTTGCACATTACTAAAGGACAAAAAATACAAGATATTGTAAATAGATACCAGGCATGCAATGATTTTACTACTAATAATTATTACAAGCCAGTGCTTTCAAATTACAGCCAAAATTACTGTACTATAATCAGATCTAGATTTGTGCTTCACAAGTGGACCTGATCATTCTTTTATCTTATCTGATATATTGTACCTTGAGATGGTCATTTGGCGTGCTATTTGCTTCATTTTGTTGACATAAAACTGACACTGGCCATCTAGACCGCCAAGCTCTTCCTCTGAGAATGTGACTGATATCCTTGGTATATCAATGTCAGCTATATTACACAGGAAATTCTGAAATACATTAAAACAAATTGTGTAAATGTGTTCATGGTGGGCTTAGATAGCCATAAAGATATAAGATTATGATTTTTTTTTCTATTTCTGATGTAAAAAAATTATACCCAATCTAGAAAATATTAAGAAAAAATGTAGAAATGGAGCTAAAAACAAAGTTTCATATCAAGATTATATCCAGCTGAATTCACTTCGAAGTTAAAGATGATTAATTCATTTTTAGAACTGAAATATAGCATTCATGTGCAACAACTAGAATTGAACCTCTATGGAAAAAATCATTGTCCTACGTCAAATCTTGATTAAGTTAACCTATTTAATGATGGATGTCCTGATCCACCATTCTACAACAAGGGTAGAAAAATAATGATACAAATTTAGTCCATATATAAGTTATATCTTACAACCATACAGTAACAACACACATGAATTTTTGTTAATTTTTGCAGAAATTTCATAATGGTGTCTGAAAAAATTTTGGTATTATCAATACTGCTTTAATATATCCTTGATAATCTATCATTGTTTTTGATCACATCTCAGTGTCTTAATATTGTCTTCATGTCTGTGCTTTTCCACTGATTTAATGAGGGCTCTACGAGAAATATATACAAAATCAACCAAATGGAGCATTGTAGAAATGTTCACCCAACTACTGCACTGTAGTAATGTTCAACCAACTACTGCACTGTAGTAATGTTCACCCAACTACTGTAGCAATGTTCACCCAATACCGCAATGTTCACCCAACTACTGCACTGTAGCAATGTTCACCCAACTACTGCACTGTAGCAATGTTCACCCAACTACTGCACTGTAGCAATGTTCACCCAACTACTGCACTGTAGTAATGTTCACCCAACTACTGCACTGTAGCAATGTTCACCCAACTACTGCACTGCAGTAATGTTCACCCAACTACTGCACTGTAGAAATGTTCACCCAACTACTGCACTGTAGTAATGTTCACCCAACTACTGCACTGTAGAAATGTTCACCCAACTACTGCACTGTAGTAATGTTCACCCAACTACTGCACTGTAGTAATGTTCACCCAACTGGCACATTGTAGAAATGTTCACCCAACTACTGCACTGTAGTAATGTTCACCCAACTACTGCACTGTAGCAATGTTCACCCAACTACTGCACTGTAGTAATGTTCACCCAACTACTGCACTGTAGTAATGTTCACCCAACTACTGCACTGCATAAATGTTCACCCAACTGGTGCATTGTTGAAATGTTTACCCAAATGGTGCACTGTATAAATGTTCACCTAACTGGTGCATTGTAGAAATGTTTACACAAATGGTGCACTGTAGAAATGTTCACCCAATCATGTTCACCCAACTACTGCACTATATCATACTACATCAACTACTGCACTGTATAAATGTTCACCCAACTACTGCACTGTAGTAATGTTCACCCAACTACTGCACTGTATAAATGTTCACCCAACTGGCACATTGTAGTAATGTTCACCCAACTATTGCACTGCATAAATGTTCACCTAACTGGGATGTCTCTTCTACAAAAGAAGTTTACCTGGGGACAGCAAGCCTTTAGCAGATTGATGGATTTTCCACAGATGAAGATGTCGGAGGCAAGGTCTGCTAGAAACAGAGGGACACTATCTGCAGCTTCATTGGTCATCAGCTTGTAACCACTATTCCAGTAGTTCTTGTCTGTAAATGTACATGTAACATAAACTGTAGCAGCCTCTTCCATAGGTGAGAAGACACAATTTTGCATTTTTGACTTCTACACATGTTCAACTTCAAGAAACACTTTTCCTTTAAACAATGTTTCAGAAGAAATTTAAACCAGATTTTCTGCATTCCCCCTGATAAAGGTACTAACAGATATCAAAGAAATAAATGCTTTCTTTACAACTGACATAAGCATAAAATACTTACCAAATGAACAAATGAATCTTTCAAACATTACAAAACAATAGTTACATTCCTTGTCGCATCACTTATCAATCTAATGACTGGACAACAGACTAAAATCCAGCTAAACTGCTATAAACCTTCTTGTTTCCATGTCAATTAAAATTTTAATCTATTTTTTATCAACCCAAGATTTTTTTTCTATGAAAAGTGACAACGAAATATAGGAAGTACATAGTGTTGAGTTTTAAGCACGAAATTCAGAAAAGTTTAACTGTTTCTGCAGGAGGCAGGCTACAAACCTCTGAATTGTAAGTAATCTGCATGGGTTTCTATCATAAACTCTCCATAGATGTCCTGACAAATTCCATGAAACACCCAGTCCTGTACAAACCTGTTCAAAGAACAGAATGTGATTATAAAACAGTCGATACCATCATCTCATTTTATCTATCACCAAAGAGAATTACCAACAACATATTAAAATCACTCATGAATATATTAAAACAGTATCAGTGACACTAGCATTACCTACCTTATTAAATATTCTATTTTTACTGAAACAACACAGTGATTTTACTGTTACAAACCATATAAAACTGATATCAACAGTATCTGATTACATCATATTTGTTTAGTAGCTACCTTGTCTGTGATAATACTTCTCACTTATGTGAAGCCCTGAACAATTACATAAGACGAGAGTTTAAAAATAAATATCTGAAGCCGTGAATAGAATATATAGTAAGATGAGGCAACTTACACAGTGTACGGTCCACAGGATGACTGCAGTATGGACATCATCATGGGGTAGTTGTCAGTACAGGTACACTCTAGACACTTCCGATACACATAGCTCAGCAGATGAACACCCTACAACAGACAGGTTTTTTTTTCATATATACTCAAGTAACAAAACTGGATTTTAATTGTACACACAACTCAGCAGATGAACATTCTACAGCACATACGGTGTCCTTAAAAACTCATGTAACAGAACCTGATTTTAATAGTACACACAACTTAGCAGATGAACATCCTACAACACATACGGTGTCCTGAAAACCTCATCTAACAGAACCTGATTTTAATAGTACACACAACTCCATAGAGTTACACCGTCTAACATACACATGCATTATCAACCTAATTGTGCTGACAGAAAGTTAAACTTTGTCCACAAAACCACAAAGAGTGCTCTAGTATCATCTTTTGGGGACATCTGACTACATCTGATTTTGCAAATCTTGCTCAACAGTAAAAAGGGTTTTATAACTTTTTTTAACACAAAATCTATATGGCCACAAAATTCTCTGGCTTGCTTGCATTTTCTACAACACTTAATATTTTGGCAGAAATAAAAATAAATGAAATAAAATGATGCAGTAATAAAAAAAAAGATTCCAGCTCATGCCTTGTAATATAAAACTTTAGGAATCTGGTTGAATAGGGGACAGCTACTGATTGAGTGTGTAAGAAATTTGAAATTACTAGCCAAAAGTATGAACTTTGACAATTTTATGCTATATGCTAACAATGTTGGCAAGTGTACATAGGTAATGGGAATACTGATTTGAAATTAAAACAGAAAATGTTAAACTTCCTCAGATGAGTGATGGGAATTTAAACAAGTACAGTATTGACGGTTGCTTGCAAAAGAAGTGCAAAAATTACCACTAGAAAACTGTTACTCCTAAAAATATAGGAGGAATTGGCATCATAGAAATTACAAAGTCTGCTTAACCTCATAACTGCTTGAACCAGAAAGAAGAAGGATCAGAGAATTCAAGAGTTAGTTTTTTTAATTGCTGTAATATTTACTCACTGTTGGGAAACTTTCTTCATCCTGAAGGTCTTCCATTGTTGTACATTTACATAAATCAGCAAGAAAACTGTAAAAGCCGAGCACGAAAATTATTTGTCAAATTTACTGAGAATTGTTTTAGAAACAACAAACATACGAAAAAAAAGTGATTTACGGAGGAACTGTTTTCTGACACTGATAGACATTACAAATGATGATATGCAACAGTTCCACAAAAATTTGAAATAGAGCTTAAATATTCCACCATGGAGTTGAGGAAAAATTATATCATGTCTGGATATTTTATATGAAACATGAAATGTATAAGGTTACTAGCTGATTCTTATTCCCATCATTTGAAGCCATAAAAACTACAACTATAAAAGATTTATAACACATTGATTACTGTACCTTATTTGTTTGAAGATTTTCTGGCAGATGAACTTGAGTCGTAATAATGAGATGTTTGGAGGGATAGACAGTATCACTCCTCTGTAGTGCTGTAGATACTTCCTGATAGCTCCACAAAAAGCTTGATACACAAGACCTTTGCTGTAGAAGGAGTCGATGAATGGAGGCAAGGAGAACTGTACCAGAAGGTTGTAATATGTACCACACAACAAGAAATCATGTGAGACTCGATGAAGACATTCTGGTGTCATTCCACTGAGGTAAATCCCTTCCGCCATCTCAAATGATTGAGTTTCCTGATCAATAACACAAACATTCTGTCAATATGGACTAACAGCCTTACAAATATCAAATATCACTACCCATCATTGGTTGTGGAAAAAATAAAACAATAACAAATTTGGAAGAATTATGTACTAGTCCAGGAATCAGGTATATAAATTAAAATCCATGAAAAAAATTGTTTTCCATCTCAAGTAAATTCCCATCAAGTAATATAAAAACAACCTCAGAAATAAATGAAGACATTTTAAATTACATTCACTCAATAATATGCATAACTCAGTGTATAAGTATTACTGTTAAAAGTCATTGATATGTCTATTTTGTTTCTATACTGGACAGGTGTTACTTGTGTTGCAGAGTAAACAAACTAGGTCCACCTACAGGAATGAGCTGGTAGGTGGCCGAGGGCACTCCTATCATCATATTGATAATGTCTCTGACAACATCTCTCTGGTTCATTAGACGTAGTGTAGGTGGCGACACTGATGGACACAGGATTGACAGTTCCTTCAGCTTCATGCTGTACCACATGTCTAGGCCAGTCGGACCTGCTTCTGATAGGTAGGGGCGATCTGGTCTAGTTCCAGGCTCACTGAACACAAGTTATATCTATGTAACTTCACTTCTAGTTTGTTGACATTATCTCAATTACAAAGAGAAAATTAATGCTACCACAGAGGAACAGTAAAAATTGAATCTGTTCATTCTTACCAATCATTTTCGCAAGTCTCCAAATGTATGCTGATCTAAGAGTGTGAGGTGTTGAATATAATTTTTGAGTCTCTAACTTGTCAATACAGCTATTCAGAAAAAAGCTACCAGCAAGACTAATGAAGAAAAATCACCCATTGATTCTAACAGTCCCTGATATTACTACAGCAGTAGAACATAAAATATCAACCACAACTCATAAATTGTCAATGAAATATTACTCATCTCAAACCAGATCCATTAATTTAGTGTAACCTGCCTAAATCATAACTAGTTTAATGTAGAAAGTTGCAGAATCCTGCAGAAATGGACAGAAAAAAAATAATACCGATTATCCAAAAACTTGATATCAACTTTAGTTGGGAGTTCAGAGAGAAGCTCCGATATAAACATCTTATGGTTTTCGATTTGTTCCAACTAAAATACAAAGTTAGTGCCCTTTCTCTTTATACAAAACGAGATAGTACATACCAGCCTCGGGTTTCCCATTTAAAGTGCTTGCTTGGAGTGAATTCAAGTGCTTCCTCCCAAATGGAGCAACCAACAGCAGAGTCGGAGTCACTGATGTAACTGAGTGACTTGGATCCTTCTAGCTGTTGCAGTTGAGTACTGCCTGTCATATCCAAACTATGTACAGCACTGTCATCTTCTGCTGATGTCTAAAAAACAACATCATGAACAATGTGTTTACACATAGGAAATATAGGTAAGGTTTTAAGACAATATCCGCTGATGAATTTTTTTCAGATTGGAGTTTGCTTGCCTTGATATGCTAGGGACATAAACAGGTTGTCTGTTCTACAAGGCACTGAACAGATGACCATACAAATCTAAATCCAAAGTCACAACTTCTAACAGATGATTGGGTATTCACTTTGATTATAATCAGTTGTATCAGAGATAAGAAAATTGAAGCAAACAAAGTATTAGACAAAACAGTGGGACAACAACTGCTGTTATCACCATGATGACCACAATGATATCACTAATTTAACATCATGTTGGTTTTACACAGAGAGTCTGGGGCTATAACTCTGGTTAAGTATTTCTTCAGTGCAATCCTTTTAGTGTGCATAAAGTGTGTGTTGTACAATTGTTTAAAACATGTATGACTTGATTTCTTCCAGAAAAAGTTGTTTGTAAATAGACTACATAAATATAACTGATCAATGTGTGTAACAATGTGTTCATACCTGGCTTCTGTTGCTGTACTGAACTTTGGGTATACGAACATCAAACAATCTGAAAAACAAATCAAGCCATACGTACAGGTTTCATAGACATCAACGCTCAAATTAGTTTAATTCACCTTATTCCTATATCTTGAATTCAAATCCATAGTCTACATTGTCTAAGCACTAATTTTTTTACACTGCCTTAACATTAACATTATTGTGTTGTGTCAAAATATCAATTACAGATACGAATCAATAAAGGAAATTTCACAGAACAATCATAAGTTCATTGGATCGATATTAATATTTTGTTGTCTCCTTATGAATAATAAAGGAGGTTGAAAAAATATTGCAATTGTGGCTAATTTAATGTGATCTTCACTAGATGAATCTGTCACATTTTAACTTATTTATCTGGTTCTTACCCACTGTCTTCAGAATCTGCCAAATTGGGAAGCTGTAATCTGTCCTGAAGGGACACCACTTGGCTCTGCACCAGTCCTCCGAACAGTGTACCACTACACTGTCTCTCATAGCTGTCACCCAAATAACCCTGAAAGACAACAACCATAACTTCACCAGTTCCTTGTACTTAAAATCATAGTGGCTGGCATAGCCATCTCCCAGCTAAAAATTGTCTTGCTTTTTCGTTAAAAACTACATCATTAATTTTCCTACAGCAATCACGATTTCCATCTCTTGTCACATTTGTCTTCTTAATTATCTAATCATGCTTAGAAATCTCCTTTTTTACTTTGCATTTTCTTTATCAGAGAATACTTTTAGTAAGATTTCTATTAATAGTGCCAGAATTTATTTTTTTTTATTCCAATGATTCCGTAATATGATCAAACTCTTTAATACTCATGGTCAGCCAATCAAGCAAAAGAGCAGGTCTTCCTAGCTGACTAGTGCATTGTGACTAGTGCTCTTCTGGAATATATACTCTCCGTTTAGGAGAGAACTTATCCTTCAGATTTCCAGGGATAAAAGTAATGGTTGCAAAGCGATTGATTGGTATTCCAAGGCTACATCATGACCATGTTTCCCAATTACCTTGATGTTGAAAAGGCCTTGTCCAGACAGACTCTCTCCTGGAGCTAAACGGAAGATCTGCCAATACAAAATGACAGACTTTATAACTCCAATTAGCAAAACAGTGAAATTAATGAAGATTTTTCTTATCACTTTAGATTTAATCTTTATGATTAATTCTCAGGATAAATTCTACAGGTACTTCTTAAAATCCTGCTCCTAATATATAATCCTTATCCTCGACTAATCAATAATATAATTTTGATGAGAGTAAATTCTACTCTTATTACTCAACATATCTTGTAATTAAACTTGTACTCATTCATTAAACTGTGATTGATAAATCAGACACCCATGTTTACCTCAAGACTTTTGTCTTCTTGAAACTGCAATGGTTCAGCTTCAAACAGCACACTGAAAAAACCCACTCAAATTTAGATGTACATATCAAAAATAATTACAGAGAAAATATAAATAAAATATACATCATAACTAAACATTGTCAGTTTCTGCTGTCAGCAATATTTCACCACTAGGCAACAAGACCGGGTATAGCACTGTATTTTACGAGTGTGGCCACTGGATGAATATTTTTGTGATTTTGTGAGCAGGTAAATGCTCAAAAGTGTGTGTAGAATTTGTGGCCAGTTAAATGATATATAAGACCTACAGTAACATCCAGTATAACAAACATATCTTACCTCGGGAAGTGTGTATAGAACTTGTGGTCTGGTCGGTAGACACAGGTATCTCCATACAGCATAGGTCCTGAAGGCAACACTCCAACCTCCTCCTGCAGCACAACAGTCAAGGCATAAACTAGTTAGACTGTTTTTTGAGATCTAAAGTTTTAATTAGATTACCTGGTTCATTGTTGATCATAACATCTACTTCTTTTAATTTGTTAAATACTGCAGGATAAATGAGCATTACAAAAAAAAAATCATTATAGCCACGTCTTCTAGATTTATGTTGTGTAACGTCTGCTTTTTTTCCAAAGTCCAAAAGTTTGAAGCAAAAGATTTGTTTTCACAGAAATCATGTCAAAAACCATGGTCTTCTCTGAAAATTAAGTTTAATTTAATGTTCACGGTATTGGTTTTTCATAATATTATTTCATCATCGAAGATAGCACGAAAAAGGTACCGCTCAAATATATAACTTTTATACACAATAACCCTTAAGTTTGTATAAGGAAAGAGATTTATGTACTTTTATATTGTTTTACAAAAAAACTAGTAAAATATTTATCTCTTAACCATCAAGGTTTTGGCATACTACAGCTATGTAGATAGAATGAATTAACTAAGAATTTGATACTGACAATCAAAATTATAAACTGTTTTAAATACACTCACTATAGGTATACTAGCAGTTATGCTACAATAATACTTCAACTGTAAGTAAGTACCAGTATCTAAAAATAGTTACATCATATTGTACTTTTCCATAACAAAGACAATATCATCATGGAATCTGCAGTATGACTCACCGTACCACAAAGTTATTAACAACAGGATGCATGTCTGAAATATTATCTTCTCATCTTTTCTTTTTTGTACTGGCAAAAACAAAATTCAAGAGTCAATTCTTGGAACTTACCTTATCTATAGACTTGGGGAGATGTTGTGTCTCGTATCCCATGACAGCTCTGGACTCTTGTTGACCCGTGTCAGCCAACAGAACCAGGAATTTGAGGATGGAGCGCATATCAGATTCATTCTCTGAGTTAGAACAGACATGAGATTGTACATAAATTTGTATCACTTCAGTGTTCATGTTACATCAAATCTGAATGTATCCATCAGTGGTTAAAAACAATTCTAACAATTCCAACTTTGTAACTATATCAACAAACAATCACTCCTTTGTAACTATATCAACTAACAATCACTCCTTTGTAACTATATCAACTAACAATCACTCCTTTGTAACTATATCAACTAACAATCACTCCTTTGAAACTATATCAACTAACAATCACTCCTTTGTAACTATATCAAGGAACAATCACTCCTTTTAACTATATCAACTAACAATCACTCCTTTGTAACTATATCAAGGAACAATCACTCCTTTGTAACTATATCAACTAACAATCACTCCTTTGTAACTATATCAACAACAATCACTCCTTGAGCTTGTTACAAATGGATATGAAGACGATATAGAAAATATAGGTCTCAAAGAGACAAAATTATTATACTTATTTTACTAGGAAATGCCAACAGAATATTACCTTTTATGTGTTCGTCAACATTCACATTACTAATGTCAACCAAATTTTCAAGCAGTTCCTCTAGTCGGTTTGCATCGTCATAATGTCGCCTACACCTCAGGTCAAAGGCATAGCTAAGAATATGAACACGCTCGTCTTCCAAATGAGTATTTTGTACAGAAATCTGTCGTTGCCATCTATAAAAGACCACCAATATTCATATTTATTACATTTTCTTATGCGAGTAGATCCTTTACTTTGAATCTAAACATGGCAGCTAGTTCATGGTACTTCTATTTTTTACTGTAATCCTAACAATAATACAGTCACATTTATGTACAATTGATTTTTTCTTTTGATCTTCATGATCACTACTCTGGAGCAAATTTTCACTCTTTATTAACAATGTGTTCTCTCCAGGTTATTCTTTCAACCCAATCCAACTTCTGCAGATAAGTATTTCATCCTCCAACATTTTCAAAGCAATTTTCCCCATCACCAATAAGAAATGAGAAATGAGTTTTCATAGAGATGATAAATTTACTGCCATTACCATGTAGCATTTACTAATTGTTTAAGCCTTTATTACATGAAGTAGTATAAATACCAGATACACATACTATTTCCTTTTTCAACAGATCGTCTGAAATGTTTCTATTTACATAATATTTTTAGAGGTTAACATTTTCTGTTTTGTCATCACATAAAAATATTTTGTCAAAATAGTCAACACCACTTTTGGATGTAAATACTTTTTTCAGAATAATGTTAAATGGAATGAGGAAACCAACCTTTGGTTTGATTTCAACACTGTCTTAAATACCTTATTGGTCCTACAAGATAGGCAAATATTGTTTCATATGCTTTTTTCTTGAGTCGCTTCTGTATCTCAGACTTGGACAGAGTAGGTTGCTTAAGGAAAGCCCTCCTTGGACCATTTGTATGTAATACACAAAGTTGTTTTATCAAGGCAGTTACACTGTCTTCTAAGGTAGACATCTCATCTGATCACATTTTCTTCATGAAAGTTCATCGATCTCAGAGAGCAAAATCTTTTCTATAACTGGAAAAAAAAAGAAAAAAATCAATACACTATTATGACTAAATATTTTACTTCATTCTAAGAATTATAAGTGCCAATATGTAAAATATCCAAAGACATACAACTGCATCCCTCTTATAAGGTGCTTCTCCTAAAGAAAACACTTTGAGAGGATTCAATTTGCTCTGAGCAAATACCATATGTTCCATAAAATCTTGTACAGAAACATGCAATTACTTGATCGCTGCTGTCAGAAAGTTCAATGAAGCTGATCATTAGGCAAATCTGTTGCTTATCAAGATTTGTCTCTTTTTATCTAGTGATTGTATAATGTACATAGGATTACAAAGTGGAATCTCATGATCTCATGAGTACTTATCTTAGACAGGGTTTACACTGGGTATCTCATAAATGGGATACTGTTCTGATTAGAATTTATATGAGTTCCTTTTATATATTTAGAATAGAAGTCTTGAAAATAACTTAGGTCAAAGCTCTGCATATTCATGGCCTAACCAGAAAATCTGTTAGTGTTAGACTCATGACATAAATCTTCAGTGGTTTAAAAATGACCATGAGGTCAATTCTGGTAGCTGAATCAAGAATGTCTCAACTAATTAACTAGATCTCTTCAAAACAACAGTTGCAGCTCTCTACTACATTTGCCTGATGTCAGATCTCAAACTTCATGTTAAGAACAAAATCTTCAACTGATAACTCTAGTGTCACGTAACAACTTACAGTAATGATTGTACACAAAATACACTTACTGGAGTACTCAAACCCCCAAGTTCTGATGCTTTATTTAACTTATCCCACCCCTCCTTCCAGAGATAAACTAAAGTCCTTTATATGCTTAATGGTCATGAATTAGGGTAATAGTTACTGCTTTGGGTATTCAATTTTACACTGAAATAAGGGATAATTTGAAAAATACACATATCAAGTTCTTTTAAACAATTTAAACTAAAAATGGTAACATGTTTTAGACATGGCCAAATACTATTGTAACATTGTACATAAAAAGTAAATACTTCAGTTGTCTGCCTTTTTTTGAACATCATATACTTTCTCACTACCATTGTTTATGTGAAATAATGGAAACAATATACACATTCCTCTTTTGAGTGCCCTGACCAGAAATTGAACACAGAATTTGGTATGATATTCAATTGGCTTTACCAAATATGCCAAAGAAGCATGCTGAGTGACAAAAACTGTATAAGCCAAACCAACCAACTCCTTTTACATTATAATCCCTATGCTTTGCCTAAATCTCAATCTAAGCCCCAATATATCACAACGCATGGGATTTGGTTGGGCACTAATTTTTAATGAACAGGGTTAATATATATAACTGTCCAGTGCCTAACCAGGGATCAAACCTGAACCAAAGAAGCATGCTTTGTTGACTGAGTGACAGAGACCATAGTTAACACTATGTACAATACACACCGACCTGTTAACTAAATGACAGAGACTATCATTAACATTATGCACAATCCACACCGATTCGTCTGTGAATCAACACAGATATGTCAGCTGAGTGACACAGACCATATTTAACACTATTTACAAACCACACAAATAGTACTCAAGTAAAATCATGATCACCCATGACATTTGCACTAAATGCTACAACTGGCTGGCCATACATTGTAGTCAATGGAGAACAAAGTCTGTGAAATAAAGTGACATAATAAGCACCAAGCTGGGAAGTTAGTGTCTGTGACCTGGTATATGTATTGTGTACAACGTATTAAGATATCTGATAAAGTAACGACAATCACAACAATGTAACAATAATCACAAGAATACAAATGACAGCATGATTAACAATGATGATTGTAAAACATTGTATGTATGATAAGCTTTCTTACAGTTACAAATCAGAATAATGTGACGAAATGTCATAAAAAATGTTCGGAGTTTGAAAATGAACAGCTGATAAAGCTGTCATGAAAAGAAATTTCGCGAACAACTGATTCAAAAGCACATTTCCCCAATGAAACATACAATAATGAAGTCAGTAAAATTTCATGTGAATTGATAACACCGTACATTATCGAATAACAAGTATGTTTCACCATACCATAACAAGCACACACAAATCATCCCGCGGTTGGTAAACAGGAAGTATTAAAATAGTTTCTAAATTTCGACTGAAAATTATATACCGGGTTTCCGGAATTATTTATGTCTTTAATCCCGGTTGAAAATACATTTCAAATAACAGCAATGATAAAAAACATAGTGTCATCAAAAACATTATGTAAATTAAAATGTAGTCATCAATATATTTTACAATGTTGAAATACACCAGTCTACTCAAATGGGCAAAAGGATCCTACGCTCAGAACAGATACTTTGCTATTTATGATCTGATTTTGTATTTAATATGATATAATTCAATTATAAAACCAACTTAGTTCCTTCTAACATTTTTTCTTTTTTTGACAACAGAAAAAAAAAAATCATTGAAAATAAGATCTTTAATTAGTAACCTTGCTTTTGGTGATACAATTGTAAAAGTGCCATTTTTGATATTGTACATCTTGAGTAAATGCCCTTTATTTAGTAATAAGGTGCTGTTGTCTAAGCAATAAAAATCAGTGAGTGTAGCTGATATCTTGCCACAAGGGAATGTGCAGTGCATAGAATTATGGTGACATTGACCATGGGTTAAAGGTCAAAGGTGAAATAAATATCAAATTTTCACGGCAGCCAGATCTCAGTTCATAAAAAATATATCTTTTGAAGAATTAAAATTCTTATATATTTTTATTATTATAATTCTAAGCAAGTTTGAAATATTTCAAATGATAATTTAACAAATTATACCCAAAAATCCATTTTTCCTATATAACCTATAATAAATTTATAATAATAAAATAAAGTAATAAATAATACAATAATAATAACATATTGATGAAAAAAAAAAATGATAATAAAATAACCCAATGGAAAATGTGAAACCCTTGGTCCATGAAATTCACAATTTTTGTAAACCACCTTATGATGCTTCCATCCATGAAGAGCTTTTGATTCTTCTATATCTGGTTGTTGAGAAGAAGGCTTTTGACACTTTTGGCTCCGCCCCTCAGGCCCCCATTTGGTGGGGACCATATAATTCACTATTTTGTTCCATCTTTGGCCAAGGAAGGTTTCTACAAAATTTCCTTGAAATTGGTTCAGGAGTTTTTGAGGAGAAGTCTAAAATGTTAAATTGTTCATGGACACATGACAGCGGATAAAGGTGATCGCAATGGGTCACCATGAGACTGTGTCTGGTGACCTTAAAAAGACAAGGCAGTAATTGACATGATATGAGTCCTGTTGTTCCTGACAGTCTGTATCAAACTAACAAGAATGTTAAGGAAGACTTTAACTGAGTAAATGTCAAGGTCAAAAGAAGAGGTCAGTGACAATTTTTTTTTTTTTTTTTTGATTTTTGATTGAAAATTTTTGCATTAGGATATTGCAAATCAAAGTTGATCAATAAGGAATCAATATATCAAAGGTAAAGGTCACAATGTCATTTTTTTAAAGCGGTCAATATTTTCTGATATTATGAAGCAAAGTTGATCAGAATCAAATGAGAGATTATGTTACTAAAGTCACTAGGTCAATAATTAAGGTGAAATGGTTTCTTTCTAATGAGTTGATATTCAAACTGTAATAAAAATATGTAATAAAATTGATCACAATGTTTTGTTGAGTAATGCATTTGACTAAAGGATACAAGGTTATTAGTAGAAAGATTCAGGAAAATTGTAATATTTCTTATGGGTCATGTTAGTCTTGTAAAAATGGTGGAGTTTTCATCAGTGTTTGATAACCATTGTTTTATACCCTTATTACAAGAGCACTATTTCCTACTCATGTTTGGTTACCTTTGTTTTATAGCCTTGTTATGACAGCACGGTTTTCTACTCATGTTTGGTTACCATTGTTTTATAACCTTGTTACAAGGGCACGATATTCTACTCATGTTTGGTTACCATTGTTACAATAACAAAGTCTTCTACTCATGTTTGGTTACCATTGTTACAATAACACAGTCTTCTACTCATGTTTGGTTACCATTGTTACAATAACATAGTCTTCTACTCATGTTTGGTTACCATTGTTACAATAACACAGTCTTCTACTCATGTTTGGTTACCATTGTTACAATAACACAGTCTTCTACTCATGTTTGGTTACCATTGTTACAATAACACAGTCTTCTACTCATGTTTGGTTACCATTGTTACAATAACACAGTCTTCTACTCATGTTTGGTTACCATTGTTACAATAACACGGTTTTCTACTCATGTTTGGTTACCATTGTTACAATAACATAGTCTTCTACTCATGTTTGGTTACCATTGTTACAATAACATAGTCTTCTACTCATGTTTGGTTACCATTGTTACAATAACATAGTCTTCTACTTATGTTTGGTTACCATTGTTTGAAGCCTTGTTACAACAGCACTGTTTTTCACCCATATTGGATTACCATTGTTTTAAAGCATTGTAATAATAGCAGTTTTCCACTCATATTTGGTTACCATGGATTTGAAGTCTTGTTAGAAGAGCAGTTTTTCACCCATGTTTGGCTACTGTAGTTTTATAGCCAAGTTAGAACAGCTGTTTTCACTCATATTTGGTTACCATAGTTCCAAAGTCTTGTTAGGATAGCTGTTTTCACCCATGTTTGTTAAGTGTAATTTGTTATGGTGGGTGTCATGCTGCAATGTTCAGATTGTAACATTTCAGTGTGATGTCACAACAATATTGTTTTGTTTTTTTTTTATCAGGAAATAGATACATTGTTCTCTTGAAATTTTCATCTAATAATTTTTACTGCCTGGCTGTTTTGTTAACAAAGATAATTCTGTCATAAATAAAAGAAAAAGTAACACAAAGCAGAAATATCAAATGAAAATTTATTAATAGATTATTGTACAGCACATTCCTAAATTTGAAAACAGTCTAAAATGTTTTATTTTTTCTTCCTTAATAGCATTTCATAATTGTATTCATTTGTAAAATACAACATCCTCCTACACCAAATTTTCATGCAATATTCTTTTGGGGTTAGTAAAAAAATTAGGATTTGATAAAAAAAAAAAAAAAAAAATCATTAGGTCTATTGTTGTGGGAAGAAATTTGAAAACTTTGAATGTCTCTGACCTTAAGGTATTGTAACATTCTACTAATCGCCCAAACTCAACTTCAGTAATGTTCTATTTATCCCAATTGTAACATTCTACTAATCGCCCAAACTCAACTTCAGTAATGTTCTATCTATCCCAATAGCTATGTATACAAGACAAATTCCTATTCACAAGTGTAACTGTACAATAATGTAATCAAAAAGTACCTGTTGATGTCAGAGCATTATGAACAGTCAGAGCCTTATGAACAGTCAGAGCATCATTATGAACAGTCAGAGCATATGTACAGTCAGAGCATTATGAAAAGTCAGAGCATTATGAAGAGTGTACTCTAGTATAAGAATAATTTCCTGAACACTTTTACAGGAAATGCTTTTATTACTAATATTTAGCATAAAATGAAAGGAAAAAAAAGAAAAACTTGATACCTTAGAATTAAATGAAAAAGAGGAATCAAAGTCCCTTTCCAGAAGTTTTCAGGATTTCCTTCTGTTTTAAGCATTTTGGTGAATACTGCAATAGTTGAACCACAAAAGCAAAAAAAAAAAAAAAAAAATAGAATAAAAAAAAAAAACACAAACAACCGGACCCAACCCAATCCATACCGTTTACACAACATATGATTAGCCCATAAAGATGTAATTAAAGCTAAACAATATTTAAGTTATAAACACCATCTTCAGGTGTTAATTATATCAACTTAATTCACCACTTACTATGTTTTATATATATATATACACAAATTTTAATTTGGAATAATTTCAAAGCCCTGTTTTCTTGTGTACTGGTATTTTGTTATCTTTCTATTTTCCAAATCTCCCATGCACTCTTCAGTTATTCAGACTATATGGTTACTGTAATAGAGCTCATTGTTTATTTCAAACAATCACCAGAATCAAACTCAGAACCTCTGGTTCATTCAAATTATCATAAAAAACATTTAGCATCAGAACATAATACATTGGAAAAAGAAAATTAGCTGCAATTTTAATTATGCAATATTGTAAGAAGTCCACTGATGATTCGAATTAATCTTCGGCTGTATGGAATTCTGATAAGATGTTAGCTGTGTGTTTTAAGCTGATCCCGTATCCATGGTAAAATGGTTTTGATATGAGTGTAGACACCAGGGGCATTGGCCTGTCCACATCCTGCTCCCCAAGATGTGGCTCCATACAGAGTGTAAACTCCTGTGGACAGAATAAGACACATCATTGGCACAGAATAACATTCCAAGGCATTCTTATCATTGACACATTTTCATCTATTAAATCGTACATCAATGAGATGTTTTCAGAGGCTCCATAAAATAAACATAATTTCTAAGACTCAGTTAAACAATCTAATATGACTGAAAACTTATGTTAAACCCTCTTCATCAAAACAGACATTCTCCCAGAATTATTGGAGAAAACCGACATCCTCCCAGACTTATTGAATAGAGCTAATATCTCCCAGACTAATTGGAAAAAGCAAATATCTTCAAAGAATTATTTTAGAAAGCAGATATCACCCCATGCTTATTGAAGAATTCACATTGAGTGACTTAATTTGAAAATAAGCCTCACTGACTGAACTGAAAAATAAAGCATACTCTCACTGAGTTAGTGAAGATTACAGATCCCCATTACTGATTTGTTGAAACTAGAGGTATCAGCAAGACACAAGTGTTAGTAAATAAGGAGACGTTGCAAACCCGTTAGTGTTAATAGCTTTGTGAAAAGGTGTACTCATGACTCATGATATAAAATTAAAGTCCTGCCTGCAGGATCTATAGTAAAGAATCTGAAATCACACATAATTCTGCATGCAATTATTATGATTATTTCTAATGTTTTATTTCTACTTCCCATTATAGTAAGGTGTGGCTCCATTGATCCTATTGTTTGGGAAAATTCTAATCAAGATTCTTTTGAGTTAAATGGGCATAAATATGGAAAAAAAATCAAATAGTCATAGCCTAATCAGGAAGGATAATACAAGTACAATTCTTATTTGTACCTGCTAAAGAGTCAATGAGCAGGAATTTCATTCTGAGAGAATTATGGACTAAGTTAACAACATATGGCCTTCAGCATGAAAAGTAGACCACCTCACTGACATATTGACTTATTTATCTAGCAATAAGTCAAAAGTCTGCAAATAAGCCAATTCACATCTGTTGTTGTTCAACTTAATCATCATTACAAACAGATGTTACATCACTGTCCTGCAATAAGCCCTACCCTGACTTGGAGTCATAGCTTTTTAAGAGGACCACAGAGGTTTTTAACAGATTAATATGGTGAAAAAAAATCATCACAGAAAGCAGACTGCTGACTGACTGATTAGATACGGTATACGTAGTTATATACCGGGTAATTGACTTTATAGAGAAGTCAAATGTTCTTAGTAACCAATCACACGATATTGGGTCTGCCTGAAGTTTAATTTTATCCATGTGTATTTCATAGATTTTGGAAAATAAAGATATGACATTTAAATAAACAACTGGAGGTATTAGAATTGGATAGCCTGCCTTACCTGCACTTTCCTCACACACAAGTGGCCCTCCACTGTCTCCTTGACATGTGTCAACACCACCAGCAACCAGGCCAGCACACAACATGGCCGTAGTGATCTGAGATTTGCTGTATAGCAGTGTGCATTGGGCTCGACTAATCAGAGGAGCCACAGCCTGTTTCAGCATGTGAGGTGTACCTAAAGTGTGAAATATCACATCTCATCAATCACTAAAATAAACCAACATTGAAGAATCCAACATATGAAGATACAAGTATTTTGGGTACAATTCATTTCCCACCGAAATTGACCATCAAGTGATTTCATCAAGAACTGAACTTAATGACACAAATACAGAAAACATCAAGTCAAATTAATACCCCAGCTCTGTTTTGCCCCAGTCAAGATAAGACACCATATGTACGTTCTGTGATGTACAAAGTGATGACCCTAAATAGCTCTGTTGTACCCCAGCCCGAGATAAGACACTACATGCATGTTCTACAATGTACAAAGTGATGACCCTAAACAGTTCTGTTCTACCCCAGCCTGAGATAAGACACCATATGTATGTTTTGTGTTGTACAAAGTGATGATCCTAACTAGCTCTGTTCTTCCCCAGCCTGAGATAACACACCATATGTATGCTTTGTGATGTACAAAGTGATGACCCTAACTAGCTCTGTTGTACCCCAGCCCGAGATAAGACACTACATGCATGTTCTACAATGTACAAAGTGATGACCCTAAACAGTTCTGTTCTACCCCAGCCTGAGATAAGACACCATATGTATGTTTTGTGTTGTACAAAGTGATGATCCTAACTAGCTCTGTTCTACCCCAGCCTGAGATAAGACACTACATGCATGTTCTACAATGTACAAAGTGATGACCCTAAATAGCTCTGTTCTACCCCAGCCTGAGATAACATACCATATGTATGTTTTGTGTTGTATAAAGTGATGACCCTAAACAGCTCTGTTCTACCCCAGCATGAGATAAGGCACCATATGTATGTTTTGTGTTGTACAAAGTGATGATCCTAACTAGCTCTGTTCTACCTCATCATGAGATAAGGCACCATATGTATGTTTTGTGTCATTCAAAGTGATGACCCTAAATAGCTCTGTTCTACCCCAGCCTGAGATAAGGCACCACATGCATGTTCTACGATGTACAAAGTGATGATCCTAACTAGCTCTGTTCTACCCCAGACTGAGATAAGACACCATACTTATGCTCCGTGTTGTACAAAGTGATGACCCTAAAAAGCTCTGTTCTATCCCAGCCTGAGATAAGACACTACATGCATGTTTTACGATGTACAATGTGATGACCCTAAACAGCTCTGTTCTACCCCAGCCTGAGATAAGACACTGTATGTAGGCTCTGTGTTGTTCAAAGTGGTGACCCTAAAAGCTCTGTTCTATCCCAGCCTGAGATAAGACACTACATGCATGTTTTACGATGTACAATGTGATGACCCTAAACAGCTCTGTTCTACCCCAGCCTGAGATAAGACACTGTATGTAGGCTCTGTGTTGTTCAAAGTGGTGACCCTAAATAGCTCTGTTCTACCCCAGCCTGAGATAAGACACTGTATGTAGGCTCTGTGTTGTACAAAGTGATGACCCTAAATAGCTCTGTTCTATCCCAGCTTGAGATAAGACACTACATGCATGTTTTACGATGTACAATGTGATGACCCTAAACAGCTCTGTTCTACCCCAGCCTGAGATAAGACACTGTATGTAGGCTCTGTGTTGTTCAAAGTGGTGACCCTACCTAGCTCTGTTGTGCCCCAGCCTGAGATAAGACAACTCTTGCCAGTTGTATAAGCTGTGTTGCTAGTTGGAAGACAGGCAGGTTGGATGTAGTTATTGAAAACAAATCCATGACCATTCTTCTGTTTCACCTTCAGAAGAGCAATGTCATAGTTGTATGTGACATCTGAAATAAGAAGAGGACTTTAAAAGATTTTTGCTACATGAAATAATTACAGAATACACCCTTCCAACTTTAACATGCAAATTAGTGCAAAATTTATTAAAATGTCCCAGAAATTCCATGAAAGTATCATTTTAAATGGGAATGCATATAGTAGTGACAGATTTTCATCAGTTCATTCCTACATTTAAACTTGATTTGCTTTATTTGTGCAGTATCAGTCCACAACATTTTTCTAGTAAATTCCAGGGTTTCTTTCCTACAACTTACCATTATAAGATTCATGCAGGAGCAAAGTTTCTATTTCAAATTCTTCCTCGTGGTCATCTGGTGACTTGTTGTTTAGGTCACCTACCCTCAGTAGAAAGTCAGACTTGGTTTTGCTGTAGTACGGATCATACATATTGTAACTTACATAATATTCACATAAAATGGATCTTTGATGAGTTTCATTTCATATATATATTTGAGAAAAGAGTCTTAAAATTCTTCCTTTTACCAAGCCTCAAGTAAGGATCTCTTCATCCCATACTTTTACAAACATTTGGAACATCACTTTAAAGACCAATGCAAAATCAATATAGGCGATATTGTGTTGTCATAATGTATTTGAAGCTTTGACGTCATACTGGAAACAAAACTAGGACATATAAGCTTTTGTCATAACAAAAAAATGATTCAATTGGTGTTATTACACAAGGTATGTATGTGAGAAATGTACATGAAATACAGTTAGTAACCACTCAGTACTTTTCAATTACTGCAATGATACAATGAAAACAAACGTCACACCAACATCAACTGAAAACTTACCCTTATGGCTGCATGTTGTCTGATCATTTTGTTAATTATTGCTTTACACCCTATTAACAGATCAGGTAATTTAAGGACGAACCAGGCTTGGATAGTGAAGGAATGCCAGAGTTTCCGGAAAAATACCACCGACCTGTGGTCAATTTCTGACAACTTCCCCAAGTTGGCCATGAAAACACAACCCAGGGGTGATGAGTAAGTGATAAAGACAATCAGACACCTTAACCACTTGACCACTGTAGCCCCACTTAATCTGATCAACTGAAAACTTACCCTCAAGACTATGTGACGTCTGATCAACTGAAACCTTACCCTCAAGACTGTGTGATGTCTGATGAACTGAAAACTTATCCTCAAGATTGTGTGATGTCTGATCAACTGAAAACTTACTCTCAAGACTGTGTGACGTCTGATCAACTGAAAACTTACTCTCAAGACTGTGTGACGTCTGATCAAATGAAAACTTATCCTCAAGACTGTGTGACATCTGATCAACTGAAAACTTACTCTCAAGACTGTGTGACGTCTGATGAACTGAAAACTTACTCTCAAGACTGTGTGACGTCTGATGAACTGAAAACTTACTTTCAAGACTGTGTAACATCTGATCAAATGAAAACTTATCTTCAAGACTGTGTGACATCTGATGAACTGAAAACTTACTCTCAAGACTATGTGACGTCTGATGAACTGAAAACTTACTCTCAAGACTGTGTGACGTCTGATGAACTGAAAACTTACTTTCAAGACTGTGTAACATCTGATCACCTGAAAACTTACTCTCAAGACTATGTGGCGTCTGATCAAATGAACACTTACTCTCAAGGCTGTATGTAGTCTGATTAACTGAAAACTTTTCCTCAAAGCTGTTTGTAATGTGATCAAATTACAACTACCCTCAAAGCTGTGGAACATAAAATCAATTTACAATGTACAAACAAAGCTGTGTGGAAATTGGAAAAGTCTCAGTTTGCAATCATAGCTATATGTATAGTAGAATTAGTTCTCTATTAATCTATTGAAGCTGTTAGTACCATTATCACTTCACAACTTACCCATAAAAACAGTGTGCAGCACTGACGACCCAGTACTCACTTACAATGGTTGCCCCACACCAATGTTGATGGTACTTGGTGTTGTCCCAGCTGTCCACATAGTTAATTAGCCTAACTCCCACCTGCCAAGGAAACATGCCATACTCAGCATTGTTTCCACCAATAATCTTTTCTACACGTGGTGGCTCCCCTAAAACTTTCACTGTGTCATCATCAGTTTCTCGTTTCTTGCGAGCATTGATAATGTCCTCTAATGGGCGCTTACCACAACCTGAACAAAAAAAATGAAGTTTTACTTTTTTTAATATCTACTACTGGATCAGAGTCAACTACACAATTACTTGAAATAATAAGGTCTGGTCCACAAAAAAATACACAACAGAAAATTAAGAAGTAAAAAATAACCAGTTAACAGGTATAATGAAGAAAACATCTCATCTAATATATCTGATAATAAAAAAAGGGAAAGTTGGAGGAAGAATACTTGTAAGCATTCAAGAAGGAAATATTTGCTCTAAGAAGAAAAGGTTCTCAACCTATGATCATATCATGATATGTTACACATGTTACCTGGAAAGATGTAGCTATCCACGGTGTCTCCATCACTGTCATCATCATCATCATCTCCATCTGGATTGGGTTTTGGTTCCGTGACACATCTAACTCCTGCATCCTCATGGTGACCGCAATCATGGGAATTGCTATGAGTACAGCTCAAGATAGAAGTCTCTGTGCCATCACATCTCACTTCATCAAGCAGGATGGGGATATCACTGGCACCCCGCCCAAAATGGGCCTGTCCTAAAGCGACACCGCCACTGTCAATATGAACATTATTATACTGAGTTTTTTAATGAAACAAGAGTTTCAGGACATGAATAACTCACCTGTTCTGCAGCTTTAAAAAGACGACTTTCTTATTTGTTAAATTTCTGCAAACTTGAGAGCCCATACCCCAAGCATGCTAATAAAAAATAGCATAATTTATGACCACGAACATTTGAAAAGAAGAACAAGACGTTTCAAATAAGTTTTATCTTTTCACCTTAAAATGGGTCAAGGATATCCGAACTAACTTGGTAGTCAATCATCTCAGCATGCTACAAGCCCAATGTCAGTGCCTTTGACCTTTGAGAAGAAGACTGTAGAATTTGATATTTGTTATCTTGAAAAAAAAGAGTCAAAAGTCCGCTTAAATTCTTCAAACAACTTATTCTCATAACCAAAAGACTCTATAGTCCTTCATCCTAGCGTGCTACAGGTCTAATATCAGTACATTGAGCCTTTTGGTTATGAGAATAAGTTGTTTGAAGAATTTAACAGATTTTACCCGTGAGACTTTTAAAAAAAATGTCAAGGTCATTCATTTGAAAAAGTCTGTTTGCCATTCATCCCACCATGCTACAGGTCCAATACCAGTACCCTGTGTCTTTTGGCTAGTGAGAAGATCTAAAAAGGGAAAAGTTGATGCTGGATGTTAAAGGGGTAAACAGCAAACATCTTGCCAGAGTACAAGTTTACTTGTCCTTCTGGCTGGCATCTGAAAACAAATCACATGTATGCACTGAATAACCTAATCAAAGCTAAAATATTGATTAGTTGCTTTCATAGTGAGGCATTTTACAATAACTGTCTTTAGTAACAAGGTTTACCTGTACTAGTCTGTATTAACCACATCTGTCTCCAGTCACAAGGTTTACCTGTACTAGTCTGTATTAACCACATGTGTCTCCAGTCACAAGGTTATACCTGTATTAGTCTGTATTAACCACACCTGTCTCCAGTCACAAGGTTTACCTGTACTAGTCTGTATTAACCACACCTGTCTCCAATCACAAGGTTTACTTGTACTAGTCTGTATTAACCACACCTGTCTCCAATCACAAGGTTTACCTGTACTAGTCTGTATGAATCACACCTGTCTCCAGTCACAAGGTTTACCTGTACTAGTCTGTATGAATCACACCTGTCTCCAATCACAAGGTTTACCTATACTAGTCTGTATTAACCGCACCTGTCTCCAGTCACAAGGTTTACCTGTACTAGTCTGTATGAACCACACGTGTCTCCAGTCACAAGGTTTACCTGTACTAGTCTGTATTAACCACACCTGTCTCCAGTCACAAGGTTTACCTGTACTAGTCTGTATTAACCACACCTGTCTCCAGTCACAAGGTTTACCTGTACTAGTCTGTATTAACCACACCTGTCTCCAGTCACAAGGTTTACCTGTACTAGTCTGTATTAACCACACCTGTCTCCAGTCACAAGGTTTACCTGTACTAGTCTGTATTAACCACACCTGTCTCCAGTCACAAGGTTTACCTGTACTAGTCTGTATTAACCACACCTGTCTCCAGTCACAAGGTTTACCTGTACTAGTCTGTATTAACCACATGTGTCTCCAGTCACAAGGTTATACCTGTACTAGTCTGTATTAACCACACCTGTCTCCAGTCACAAGGTTTACCTGTACTAGTCTGTATTAACCACACCTGTCTCCAGTCACAAGGTTTACCTGTACTAGTCTGTATGAACCATATGTGTCTCCAATCACAAGGTTTACCTGTACTAGTCTGTATTAACCACACCTGTCTCCAGTCACAAGGTTTACCTGTACTAGTCTGTATTAACCACACCTGTCTCCAGTCACAAGGTTTACCTGTACTAGTCTGTATTAACCACACCTGTCCTTCCTCCAATATCTAGGTTTTCTTGTACATAGGTACCAGTTTGTATCTGTCTTCAGTCTAATGGTTTACTTATACTGCTTTGCATTTACAACACCTATCTTTAGTCACAATTTTTACCGGCACTATGTTGTGTTTACAACACCTGTGTCATGTCACAAGCTTTACCTGCACTATGTTGTGTTTACAACACCTGTGTCATGTCACAAGCTTTACCTGCACTAGTCTTTCCCACACATGTATATAGTCACAAGCTTTACCTGCACTAGTCTTTACCACACAGGTTTATAGTCACAAGCTTTACCTGCACTAGTCTTTCCCACACATGTATATAGTCACAAGCTTTACCTGCACTAGTCTTTACCACACAGGTTTATAGTCACAAGCTTTACCTGCACTAGTCTTTCCCACACAGGTTTATAGTCACAAGCTTTACCTGCACTAGTCTTTCCCACACATGTATATAGTCACAAGCTTTACCTGCACTAGTCTTTCCCACACATGTATATAGTCACAAGCTTTACCTGCACAAGTCTTTACCACACATGTATATAGTCACAAGCTTTACCTGCACTAGTCTTTCCCACACAGGTTTATAGTCACAAGCTTTACCTGCACTAGTCTTTCCCACACAGGTTTATAGTCACAAGCTTTACCTGCACTAGTCTTTCCCACACATGTATATAGTCACAAGCTTTACCTGCACTAGTCTTTCCCACACATGTACCGTAAAAACCCACGTAATGTCCGCATCTGTGTAATGTCCGCACCCCTTTTTTGACACAAAAATCTGGGGAAAAAACCCACCTTCCATGTAATGTCCGCGGGTAAAAAATGCAAATTGAAGCTGCCGATTTCACACGTACGCTAATGTCGTAATGGCCGAGAGCATGTCGCATTGTGTATAACTTACAGGTACCATTCAAGAATTCACTTAATTGTTTATAACAACAGTTATTCTCCATAATGGTACAGTAAGCTTACCAGTATGACAAGTCCTCACATTGGTGTTTTGATAAGGGTTAGCCCAGTAGCGTTATAAACAGCTTGGGTCGTCTCCTCACCTCGAGGAGTTCTTCCACAGTGACGACGACGACTTCTGGGGTTTCGAGAAACGCTATTAAACCGGCCTGCTATGTATTAAGACTTTCTGATAAACGATCCATAATCAATAAAACGTCTGATTATTTATTTTATGTAATATTCTTGTACATGTTATTTATTGTTATTTTGTAAATAAAATGTAGAATGAAAATGTTGTGTTATTTTGTATATGCTCATGGGTATGCTTTTTCAATGGGGGAAGGGGAATAACTCTAACTTTACATGTGACAAAGTCAAACAAAATGGCTTCCTATTACGAAGGACGACACAATACGAACCTGTAACGAGAAATTGGAAGGAATTAACCATGGAAACTATAATAAATAATCATAAATAATCATGTTTGGTTGAGGAAACATCATAGAAAAACCATAGAACGATAATATCAGGTATGCTTGGCTTTTAAGAACACAATTCAAGGAGATATGATATGAATTGTCGGAAGGAAAAAAGTGTCATTTCCTCTATATCTCTGTAATGTCCGCACCCCCTTTTTTGGATTGATTTTCGGTGAAAAAAAGTGCGGACATTACATGGGTTTTTACGGTATATAGTCACAAGCTTTACCTGCACTAGTCTTTCCCACACAGGTTTATAGTCACAAGTTTTACCTGCACTAGTCTTTCCCACACATGTATATAGTCACAAGCTTTACCTGCACTAGTCTTTCCCACACAGGTTTATAGTCACAAGTTTTACCTGCACTAGTCTTTACCACACAGGTTTATAGTCACAAGGTTTACTTGTTTTAGCTTGTGTTTACCACTTCTGGCTCCTATAGCAAATTTTTGCCTGTGCTGTTATCTTTACCTATCATAGCCCAACATTCTACACACAACATCGGCATCCTCATCTGACCACCTGTCATCACAGACTGTCCCTCTTTGTTGACCATCTAATATGACCTCCACACGACCTTCACCGGGAACATTTCCATCCACCAACTCGATATCCACAGCTGCCATCAAATAAATATTACATTTATACATTTAAAGCATATCTTTCTAAAATAAGATAGTCACTAAGACAATAATCTGTAAAACAATGCATAACATCCTATGTTCTCAGATTTCCCACCCCCTCTCCGATGTCCAAACTTTTTCACTTTCACAAAATGTGTCATCTATTACACTGTCAATAAACTGCTATAACATATGAGATTGCTGCCAATTCAGATAAAAACAAACACAAATATATGTTAACGCTCTAAAGAATCTCATCACACAAACCTACCACAGTTGTATCGAACAGTTAGGTACTTGGTGGTATCTTCACAGGGGTCGACCAAATCAGAGAACATCCTTTGTATATCCTGAATGTTACACTTCTGTTGACCATTACAGATGTAATGTATTATGTCAAATACGCCAGCCACGTTACAGCGTCTCCTTCTCATGCTCTCACTGGGACATGTCTGTCGATCTTTTCGGCCATAGGTGGCATCCACAATCTCCAGCCCCCCAGCACAGCTTAGTGTCACAGCATCATCAACACATACTACCTGTGTGTGATGTGCTGTATTGAAAAAAGATGAAGCAGCTTTAGTCCTGATTCACAAAAAATCCCGTGTTGCTCATACCTATCAAATTAGTTGTCAGCATAATGTCACGTCATCTTTTACAGATATAGAAACAATCTACCAGATCAATCCTAATTCGTCAAAAATTAATCTGAATTGTGCCAAATAAAAAATGAACCCATTCATAATTTTTACTTGTAAAATGGTAGTCTAGATTTACTGATATCCTAACTTTAAAGACAGTTCCTGTTTCATACTTACTTTACTACAAGAACATTTACTAATTTCATTCTGACTACAAGTACTGCAAGAAGTCAGTCGACACTTCTATTTCAATGGATGACCTCAAATCTGACCTTTACATAACAGTATCAAATGTAAACACAAGAAAAAAAATCATAAGAACACATGCCAAGAGAATCCTTTTTATACAATCACTCAAACTTTTTCTCTTATATATCTAATGCACAAATTTGCGAATGCAAGTTAACAATTAGCTTCAGTTTTCATATCATGTCTCCCTACCATATTTGGCTGAACACACAAGGAAGAGATAAAACTATAGATTATAATCATTCTGAGTAACATGCAAAGTGCCTAAGTTAGACTTGAGACATCTTACCAGTGGATGGATCAATCTCAGACGTACAAGACACTGCCACATAGCTGGATGGTGGGCAGTCATCAGCATCCAGATTCTCCTCAAGGCTACAGTTGGTCAGTACTGTACTGGTTGGGGGACAGGACACAGTGTAGGGCCATGCTCTGGTCAGACTGGATGTTGGAGTATTGGTCATCAGTACTCCCCTCCTGCCAGGCACATGTTTTATGTTAGATTGTGTCATTATATAAACATTTTACCATGCTACTGGAGAGAACATACATGATTATATCATGAGAACATCTACTGTTATAAAACCTACCTGAAGCCTAAGGATTTACACACAAGTGAAGCCTGTTCATCACTGTAGCGAGACTGGTAGTTACATAAACCACCCGCAACACCACCACTGACCAACTGGACCACTCCTTCATTCTCATTGGCTCCACCCAATAGGCCGATGGCAATATCTGATTGTTTTAACATAAAGAAATTGACATTTTTTATCTATCAAATTGCTACTTAAATGAAAAAAAGAAAACAATCAATATGGGATATTTCTGTCATCCTTCTTTGTATCCATGGGAACCAATTTTTCATCATACCCCGGCACTTTGTATCCATGGGAACCAATTTCTGTCATCATACTTTGTATCCATGGGAACCAATTTTTGTCATCATACTTTGTATCCATGGGAACCAATCAAAAGGTATAGACATGTAAAGTAATGTAACCCAATACTGCAGTAATACAGGTAAAATATATGAAATAAAGAATAAATATGTTCATAGTCAGCTTGTTATGACCGATGAAGATGAGCCAAAGTATTCCAAATTTTGTGTGAGCTTCATTTATTTTGACAAAGGCTTTTGTCTCTTTGTCAGCCCATGCATGCTTATGTAAATGTTTTAATAGACTTGCCGCTGACTGATGCTTCCATGAAGGGCTCTGTCAGGCACACTGCTCCTGCATCCTCAGAGTGGTCACAGTTGTGTATGCCCCATCCACTATGTGAACATTCCATCAAGCTGGTCTCCTCCCCTGTGCAAGACACATCGTCCAGTAAGATCTGGTCACTGCCCTCGCCGTAAGCAGCTTGACCTTTAGATCGTCCATCTCTACAAGAGGATGAACATGTTAGAAATACATGAAGTATAAGGTTTGTTTAAATTACAATAAAAAATGTTTATTTCAAATTAATTCAATGTTTTGCAGATTTACTACAAGTATCAAGGAAGAAAGATGCTATTTTAAAAGACATTACAAAATAGAACATTATCTCTTTTAACTTCATTTTTTCAGGAAAGCAACAACATTTACAGAAACTTATCTATGGGCTGGTTTTAAAAGGTAATGTAATATCACATAGTAACCATGTGGATATATCATATACTGTGTTAAACAAACAGAGATTAATAATGACTAAAGGTCTTGTCATAAGGAACACACATGCCAAATATGGAAGCCCTACCTCTTGTTGTCCAATAGATATGGACAAGGTTAAAGTTGAAAACAGTAAATCAGACAGCAAAAAAGCAATATTCATCTGATTTTTCGATCATGGAACATAAAAAGTGAGCTTGATGCCACTTACACAAATCCAAGCATCCTGCAGACAACTCGGGCATCTTCATGACCCCAGTTATCATCACACACTGTCCCCCTTGTTCCTGACCTGATGATCTCTACACGACCTTCAGAAGGATTTGGCCCATTCACCAGTTCAACTGTAACTCATTCAAAAGCAAAATGCTGGTGTAACTTTATGTACAACATGCATGGTACAATAAATTCATGTGAAATGAGCGGGAACAAGACAATTTGCTGAATTACAAACCCCAAATGACACAAATCTCACCAAGATGAAGCCATATCCCAAGTATAAAGTTATTGTGATAAGTAGTGAAGATAGGGCCTAGACACATTTTTTTTGATGTAGGTCAAAGATCAAATGTAGGCCAGAATGAGTGGCTACAGGTAAGCGGATACCTTACCTCTAAATGATATTCTTATCTGTGAGTTGTGACTTAACTTGTGAGTAGTGACCTAACCTGTGAGTGGTCTTCTTACCTGTGAACTGTGACTTTAACTGTAAGTGATAGTCCTACCTGTGAGTGGTGACCTTAACTCTGTTTGGTAACTTTCCCTGTGAACAGTAGTCTTACCTCTGAGTGGTGACTTTACGTGTGAGAGTTAACCTTAACTTAAAGAGGTCATCTTACTTGTGGGATTTTGACTTCAAATGTGAGTGGTAATTGTGAGTGGTAACCTTACCTATGAGTAGTTGCCTTACCTGGGAGTGATGACCTTACCTGTGAGCGATGACCTTACCTGTGAGTGATGACCTTACCTGTGAGTGATGACCTTACCTGTGAGTGGACCTTACCTGGGAGTGATGACCTTAACTGTGGGTGATGACCTTAACTGTGAGCGATGACCTTACCTGCGAGCGATGACCTTACCTGGGAGTGATGACCTTACCTGTGAGTGGTGGCCTTACCTGTGAGTGGTGGCCTTACCTGTGAGTGATGACCTTATCTTCGAGTGATGACCTTACATTGGAGTGATGACCTTGACTGTGAGTGATGACTTTACCTGTGAGTGATGGCCTTACCTGTGAGTGGTGCTCTTACTTGTGAGTGGTGGCCTTACCTGTGAGTGATGACCTTACCTGTGAGTGGTGGCTTTACCTGTGAGTAGTGGCTTTACCTGTGAGTGATGGCCTTACCTGTGAGTGGTGCAGCCGTAGTGGTGGTACTTGTTGGCAGACTTTCATCCATAGTACACATCACTCCAACATCTTCACCATGGTTACAGTTGTGAGTACCCCAGTTTAAATCGGGGCAATCCCATAGAGTGTCTTCCTCCCCTGTACAAGCTACATCATCCAGCCAAATCTCGCCCTCACCTTGACCATAACTGGATGTATCCATCTTCATTCCATTTCTGAATAGAATTAAACATATAAATCAGATTGACTGAAAGCTTGTTGTTAATTGTTTCAAATGAAGAGACTCAGTTTGATGATTTTGCAAATGACCCGGTAATTTCTTTTAGAGATTATAAACAGCTTAACAAAAGACGTATCATTCTATTACTGTTTCACTGATAATTTAGAATTCTGCTTTAGTACAGTAAAACAACAACTTGTCCTTAAGTCAAAATAAAAGCAGTCCAGAGCCAAACAAGATCTCCAAAATATAAACAACTGAAATGATAAGAGTTGATGTGAGAAAAGGTTGACTGTACATGTATCCCAGAGTTCTACACACAACTCGAGCATCTCCATCATCAAACAGGTCATCGCACACTGTACCATTGATACCAGTATGTTCTATGAGGATACGTCCCTCATGTGGTCCAGTGCCTCCTACCAGTCGCACAATGTCTGTAACATAACAACTACAGTTTAAGGGTTTCTGCTATGTTGTCTGTAACACAACAACTCCAGTTTAAGGATGTTTGCTATGTTGTCTGTAACACAACAACTCCAGTTTAAGGGCGTTTGCTATGTTGTCTGTAACACAACAACTCCAGTTTAAGGGTGTTTGCTATGTTGTCTGTTACACAACAACTCCAGTTTAAGGATGTTTGCTATGTTGTCTGTAACACAACAACTCCAGTTTAAGGGTGTTTGCTATGTTGTCTGTAACACAACAACTCAAGTTTCAGGGTTTCTGCTATGTTGTCTGTAACACAACAACTCCAGATTAAGGGTGTTTGCTATGTTGTCTGTTACACAACAACTCCAGTTTAAGGGTGTTTGCTATGTTGTCTGTAACACAACTCCAGATTAAGGGTGTTTGTTATGTTGTCTGTAACACAACAACTCCAGATTAAGGGTGTTTGTTATGTTGTCTGTAACACAACAACTCCAGATTAAGGGTGTTTGTTATGTTGTCTGTAACACAACAACTCCAGTTTAAGGATGTATACTATGTTGTCTGTTACACAACAACTCCAGTTTAAGGGCGTAGTATTTGTTATCTTCATTGTTAAGGTTTAAAGCATGTAAATAATTGAATATGAGCAATGCAGAAATAACCAGATCAAAAAAAATCCATGTGAAAACAAAAAGCCAAGGTCATTAGACCAATCTCAACCACTATCTACATATATATCAAGACAGCAATTTTCTCTTAGCATTTGCTCTACTGGTAGGACATACATCAACATTAAGTCACATTTCACTGTCTTAACAGCTTATTGACTTTCTTATTTCCATTGCTTCCTACAAGACCAGGGAACCAAAATAAAATTAGGTAACATGGCAGCAAGACCTTGTGGTGTCCATAAAGTATCTCACGCATTTTATCCACCTAAATGAATGACATATCTAAATTTTAATTTTCAAGTTGTTTAAGCCATATGCCAATAGAATAATTAATTAATTTGTCATGTCTTTAAAAAATGTCAAATGGAAGACAAGTTTACAAGCAGGATTTTCCGGGTTTGATTTTAGTTACTCTAGATCTAGTTTGGATCTTGTTGATCATGTGGTTGTTTGTATGCTTCAGGCTTTTGGCTGGCGGTATACAGAAAACACCTATCACCAAAATCCCCGATTAAGAATAAGATCAAGAATTTTAAAATATGACTTGCAGGCTGATGATCCATACATTTGGAACCATAACAAAATTTTGGTTTAATAAACGAATGATATTAACACAAAATAAGACTTGCTCACCAATCAGTATCAGACAGGACTTTCAAATATTAACAGCTTTTATACAGTTATCTTTTAAGACTTCATGTGAGATAAAAATTATATTTTGAATCAAAAATTTAAATAATTCAGGTGTATGTTAAAATCAATTTTGAAGCAATGAATGAAACAACCTACCTGGTTTTGGTGTGGTGGACACGGGCACATCATTGGTACAAATGACTCCCACATCCTCCTCATGGTTACAGTTGTGTACTCCCCAGCCATTGCTTGGACACTCCCACAGCATGCTTTCCTCTCCTGTACACTCCAGATTATCTAACCAGATCTCCCCTTCACCAAAACCAAATGTTCCCTTTGGTACAGGACTGCCATCTCTAAAATTTACAAATAACAAGAATTATGTCTGTCTTCTTACGTAATGTTACTTTTTCCATTTATATGGAATACATATAAGAGGTTGTCATTTCAAATATATAAAGGATCTTCCTCTTAATAATTGATTTCATTTCAGTAATAATTACCATAACTTTAGTATGCAAATACAGTACCTACACCCATCTTTGTATCCCAACAACAAAAGATTCAAAAGAAAAATAATCCCGCCCTCCCTACGATCCATGAGCCATCACGGCAGGAACGCAGAGTGATCTCCCTTCCTCTTACCTTTATGGCTGCCGACGAGTGCGGAGGTGTCTGAGCTAAGTGCTTTTCTTACTCCTTCTCTTCGTACTGCCATTGTCGTTTGAGTATATTGTTACTCTATTAGTAGTCTATAAACCCATCTCCCAACTTATATTGTGAAATTAAGTATTGTCATTTGTTTATTTTGACCGTATTTCCGGCCGTTTTTTCCTCCACGTATTCGAGTGCGTGACTACTTGTCTCGTTGCTCGGATTTGCGTGAAGTTGGAATTTGTTTTCTTGCTGCTTTGTCGGCCGTGTTGTACGGCCGTTTTATTTATGCAGTGCAATCTTGCTGCGTACGGTAGGCTTTGTGCTCTCGTTCGTAGTTTTTTGATTGTTCGAGAACTTCGTTTCCGGCCGTGTTTTTCCTCCGCGTGTTCGAGTGAGTGACTACTTGTCTCGTCACTCGGATTTTCGTGAAGTTGAAATTGTTTTCTTGCTGCTTTGTCGGCCGTTTTGTACGACCGTTTTCTTTTTTTTGCAGTACAATCTTGCTACGTACGGTAGGTTTTATGATCTCGTTCGTAGTTTTTTGATAGTTAGAAAACTTTTTATCCTTGTTTTCATTGTTACAATTTTTTATTGTTTCGATGCTGGATAAAGGTGCCGGGTTTACGTCGGGGGTCAGCGCATGGATGTTCCTATTTCTATAGATAATGGGAACCCCATGATACCTGTCCCATTTGCCGACATTACAGCCAGACCTCACTATGTGAACTTTGTTTGCACATGGAGTCTGCTGCTTAGGCTCCCATGCCTTTCCAGCTAACTTTCCGCCGGAAGAGGGATTCGTCCTCTTCTTCCGGTAAGGGAAGTAAGCTTTTTAAGACCTCCCTCCTGAAGTTCTGAACCAGAGCGTTCCTGCTGAGGGTGCTCTCGTTCCACCGAGCTCCGCCCTTCAGCAGGGGGTGGCTCCCCCTGTCCAGGTGCGTCCTGGAGTAGGGGGGGGGCAGCCCGACCCTGACTCGGCGCAGTCAAGGGTCGAATTGGCCGGTAGCTCTCGATAGGCGGCGGTGTTACCGTCGGAAAGGGACTTCCGGTCGAGGTCTCTGATTCCTTCAGGGACCTCGGCACGCCAGGTGGCGTCGTTGGTGGGGGCCGCTTTGACTCCGGAACTGTGCCTTCGGGTATAGGTTCAGGGGCCACAGACTTTTTGTCAGGATTGTCTGTGGCTACGGGGATTAGTGACACTTGAGTTCACTAATCCTGGTGTCAGTGCGGGGTCTGTTTTCCCACCCTCACAGGCTTCTGGCTCTGGGACTTCCGTCCCAATCCAGATTTCCCAGTGCAGGGTTTCCCAGGGGGTTTTCCTCCAAGGGTTTGGGGCTTCAGGCCAGGAGTCCGGTTTCCGGTCTCCCTTTCCCCCGGGCTCAGGGAGTAGGGGTGCCTGCGGGCACTTATTCCTGGGTCGCCCAGGCCAACCTGCGGATGGTTTTGGGTACCAACAGTTACTCAGCAGTTACGGGCTTAGCCTGTACATGTCTGGGTTTCCACCTGGTGGGAGTGGCGGTTCATCCTGGTCCTTTGGACAGGATGTCCAGCCCCAGACTCAGGCAGGCCATCTTGGCCAGTTCTGGGGTCACTCCCGGCCCGCTGGACCGTTCCCATTCCCTCAGGGGTTTGGGTTTTTACCCCATGGGTCTTCACTCGTGGAACCCATAGGGGTTGGTCTCTCCTCTAGGAGATGTTATAGCAGTGCAGAATCCCCCCAATGTTCTGCTACTTCGGGGGCCTTGTTGGCCGGTCCTATAAAGGTTTGCCAGACCTTAAGGACTTCCGCCTCCAGCGCGGACCCGTCGGTCTCCTGTTCCCAGGGGTCGGCTTCGGGTCTCCGACCCAAGCCTACAGCTACAGCTGTTGGTCGTGCTGCGTCCAAATGCCATAAAGAGGAGTTCCCCTCTGCGGAGATGGCTCCTCTGGCGGCCCCTGTTCCTCCCAAGGGGACTTCGGTCTCTATTGAGGAGGAGATGGACATCGAGGGTGCGGGCTCGGCAGAGGAAGACGATGTCATTCATCTTTCTCCTGGGCCAAGAGGGTTCACAAGGGGAAGATGGCCCTGAGACTGCTGAAGCTGAGGCTCAGCATGTGCTTTCTGGGATGCGGGTCCTCCGGGCCAACATCTCCCGGATTCTCAGGGCGGAGGTTTGCCCACCGCCTCAGCATCGTCGGCGCCTGAATCCACCATCCTTCTGGGTTCCCTGGTGGCTCCTCGGGCTTCCGTTCGCTCAGATCGGTCTCTGCCAGAAGGCAATATCATGTCTTCAGTTCTGGCCACGGCCCGGGCTCCGGTTTTAGAGAAGGACTCCTTCTCTACCCGTGCTCCCGGGTTTGTCGGTCTGCAGCTCAGTGTTGGTGAATTGTCGGAGGCTTCAGCTTCCGACTATGCCACACATGATGGGCAGCTGGCCTCTCAACCAGCACAGCTGGAGTTGAGACAGCTGGCTGCCTGGCCCGGCAAATCAGTGGACCAGGTGGTGCTCGATCCCAAAGAGCACCACAGGATGGAGAGAATGTTGCACCTCTCCATCCAAGTTCTGTCATACATAGACTTCCTGACAGTTTGTCTATACAGGGTATCCGATTTGCCTGAGTGTCGGTTATCCGAGACAGAACAGCCGACATACAGGACACGGCAGCCTTGCAGGTTCTCTGCTCGTCAATGCCGTGTTGGCTAGGCAGTTTTCAGTTCTGAAATTCCGCCCAGTCCAGTAACCCTACCGTTTCCGCTTGTTGAATGCCCCCTTCTAGGGCTCTACCCTGTTCAGGGGAGCTCTTCCTTGGGTTCAGAAGGATATGAAGGAGGACTCGGTCGCCTCAGCACTTCTGGTGAAGAGGTTTCAGGCTGAGAAGGCCAGTGCCTCGCAGGGGTCAGTGCCTCCTAAGAAGAAGGCGAAGTCTTCGGCTGCTCAGTTTTCTGCACAGCCCAAGTCCCAACCTCACTTCAACGGCAACAAGGGGAAGGGTAGGAAGGGTAAGAAACCTCCTGGGGGCAAGAAGAAGGGTTCCTGACTATTTCTGCTTCTTGGCAACGAAAGGCGAAGGGTATGGCCGGGTGGACCTGTGGTTCTCCTTTCCCGGGCTCATGTCCTTCTCCTGCAGGCTCAGGCTCCGGGTGGGCAGACGATTCTCTGGTCTGGCAGGGGCTCGATCTGCCCCATCCGGAACTCCCTGTGGGCGGACGTCTCTCTGCTTTCCTTTCCTAGTGGCAGGATATTACAGAGGACGCTTGGACTTTTGTCGGTGGTCAGGGAGGGTCTAGGTATTCCCCTTCTTCAGGATTCGTCCCTCGCCTCCTGGCCGTTTTTGTTTCTTTCCTCCTCCCGGGGATTCAGAAAGGGCACGGGTGCTCCAGGAGGAAGTAGGGACCATGCTGCCAAGGCAGAGATGCCCTTGGGGCTCACGACAGCTCCTTTGGTGTTCACTCCTGCAGAATAGACGTCCACATCTATTTCGACGACTCCCTCATGCCTCTTTTGGTGTGGGAATCGTTAGTGAAGGACACTCGTCTGGTCCTGAAACTCTTGCTCAGAGTCGGCTTCATTCCTTCCAGAGAGAAGTCAGAGGTTCCTTCATATTAGGACTTCTTCTTCCTGGGGAACCATTTTGACATGGTTCGGGGCTTAGCCCTTCCACCTCTGGAGAAGTTTGAGAAGGTCAGGGCTCTGGCTCTGACTTTCATCACTTGGTCGCTTGTCCAGGTACATTGGTTCCTCAGTTTTCTGGGGTATCTCAACTCCTTGGCATATGTGGTCCCCCTAGGGAGGATTCACATCGGACCTCTCCAGATGTTCCTCCTGTCTGACTGGGTTCCGTCATCCAGGAGGCCTGGATCCCGCTTACCCAGTCGGTCAGGGAGTTCTCTTGCTGGTGGACCATTTAGGAGAACGTTTTCCACGGGGTACCTCTGACCAAGCCTATCCCCTCTATGATCCTGTTCATGGACGCGTTCATGACAGGAATGTGAGCTTACCTCGATGGCCAATGCCGCTTGGGGGAGTGGTCTGGCGAACAACTCACGGAGCACATCAGTGTACTCGAGATGAGACTGTTCATTTGGCTCTGCAGTCCTTTAGGGG